GGTTGGAAAAATTTTTCTACTTGATGTGTAGATCAAACACGTCTCGGCGTCGATAAAAATGAAAAGCAGTATTGAAAACTTTGAAAACTTTCCTCTACTGAACGGTATAAAAAAATTAGTGTCAACGTCCGACCGAGCGCTGAAAAAATGCGTCTGAAAATGAAATTTCCAAAAGTGCCCGGGAACTTTCTTTACAACCATATTAGCGTGAGCTGTAAAAAATGGGACACCTAGAGAATAATTGTAGATTTCTCAGAAAAGAGAAGTGATTAAACTTTTCAATTTTGGATATATCATTTTCTTTTAGACAATACCGTTAACCATATATAAGGTCATTTACATACCTTAACTTTTTTACTTGCTGGAATGCAAAGTTAATTACTGCTACAACAAATGAAGTTCTAGCAGTATCTGCGCAATGAGACATGCGAAACCATCCAAATTACCTCTGCTGCAACGGGTGGAGGTACGTTCACCAAATCCATATGTCTTGCTGGCCGCAACGTTTGAAGTCAGGAGATATGGTCCTTAGCAGTTTCGAGAACAAAGATACGTGTTATTTACTTCTTCGCAAGTGACCGTGTGTTTTCTGGCTATCATCTGATAGAGCTCTTTACGCTCTATCCATCCATACGTTATTTACCTCAAATTTCTCTTATCTTCGGAAATTGTAGTTTGTATTATGATTTTATGTTTTCAATTGCGTTAAAAAGTTTCGAGTTTTTTGCTTTTTTATGTAAAAAAATGAAATCCTATATATTTACCATTTGAAAGAGCATGAAGAGCTCTTTCAAATAAAATGTGACGCGCTTTATAACTTTACGGTATAGCAGCACAAGAATGAGAGATGTTCAGAAAACCTGTTCAAGATTTCCCCGGCGCCAAGCGCAGGTTGTGGGAGAGGAGAGTTAACGCGTTGCCATAATGATAGCCTAAGGCCGCTTATGTAAGCGACGTTCACTTGCAGCCTGCTTGGAAATCCCAAAATGTAATGAGAATCAAACTGTCCCATTTTTTACTGTTCACCCTAACATAACCGATTTTAGACTGACAGCCTGCATTCTACTTCACTGCCCCAATCGAAATCAGGTCGAACCGAAGGTTCAATTTGCGCGCTCGCAGCGCTGTAGATTTGCGCTGCATACGCGCGCTGTCGCAGAGAGCGAAGAGATTGAGGAGAAAGTAGGCTAGCTAGCAGTAGGCGTGATGCAATACCCTTGCAACATGGACTCTCGCCATGCTAATTTTGGCCTGGTTGGAATTGTACAAGCCAAAGTATTGGAAGAAATTATTTACGTCTTTTTTGATCATTCTTCCTTGTGTCAACCTTGACATTGCGACTCATCTAAAAAAGTTCGTATTTTCCTTACTGAAAACATGTCTTTGGGTCCTGAATAATGGAAGGTGCGAGGTGTCTCTTTCTACAATGTAAGAGACTTATTTTCACATGGGAGAAGAAGTTAAGGCTAGGAGATCTGGCCGTTATACAGAGTGTCCTTGCAGTGTCTACATTTGATTGGCAGAAGCCGAAAATTGCTAATGTGCGCTTTGAGTTTTTCAAACAAACTGCCGGCATTACCGGCAAGCATCCTGTTAATGCGTGCTTTGTTGGCGAATGTCGATATCGCAGAAGTTCTAAATTGGTTCTATCCAGCAGTGGCGTACCCAGGATTTCGGCTCGGGGGGAGGGGGGAGGGGAAACGCGACAAAAAATTTTTTTCCGATGAAGGTGCGTGGCGCCAGCCACGCGCTCCGAAAATTTTTTTGTTATGCTCCCTAAAATCTTCGCGGGCTCAGAACCCCGAAATTTCAGAAAAAAGGGGCGTGGCGTCAGCCACCCTTAAAAAATTTTAAAATTTGTTTTAATTATTTACAAGTGCAGACAAGCCATTTGCACAATTTTATAACCCATATAAGTATTTTTCAAAAATTCCGCGACCCGTTCTCGGGGAGGAGGCGCCCCTCCCTCCTCCCCCGCCCCCTCCCCCTTTACCCTTCGGTACGCCACTGCTATCCAGCATCATTGCTCCAAGTGTGACCGACCATAGTACGTCGCAAGGGTTGTCCGACAGTTCTCGCCTTTGGCCTGCTTTGCTCACGTACAACTCTTAAAGGCAGTGTCCGAGTGAAATAATAGTCCAAAGACTTCAAAATAGTAGGATCAGGGCTCCGCGCAGCTGAAACCGGGTCAAGCTGTGTATCGTTTTTTGAAGAAAAGGCAAAGAGGACATAGAATTTGCAACGTTCAGGACGTAGTATTTTCATCAACATGCACATCAGTTTCAACAACTTGAAGAATCGTCGGGGTAGGTGAGAATGCTGGCCATTTTTGGAAGAACGCTCAGAGGACAATTACGGCTTTTTCATAGATTGATTGCGGTGCAACGGCCGCATTCTCGTGAACTTTCCGCAAGAATATGCAAGATTGTTAGGGACCGCATAGTCCATAGGTGCCTTTCGCTGAGAGAAGGTACCTCAAGTAATTAAATTACAGCAGTAATTAAATCAATCATCGATGACATCTCTGCCATATAAAGCCTTACCTTTGCTCAGCATACGCCCAAAACTGCGTCACAAGAATCAGAGCGCTCGCTCAAAATTTACCCAGCGTTCAAAGAAATTAATCGACCGCTCGTAGAAAATTCTATATTGCTGCCCGCTGGCAGAACATGCGACAGTTAAGGAAGCACCACTCGGTGAAGATTTGGCCACGTCTCAAAATTCTGCTGACCGCCTGCCAGAAAGGGCGAGTTTGCATCCGCCTGCCCCTGGCGATAATCTGAGAAGTCAAGGCAGCGGCTCGGCAGGTTCTCGACTTGAAGTATTTTTGCTTACCTGGGGTAATCGGAGGCGCTGATTCCGAGAATCCACCTCGAAAAGCGCGAAAATGGCAGAAACCATCATTCAAGGTTTCTTATTTTGAATTTGGACGAGTGGAGCACGTACCGCCATGGTTAGAGAGGCAGAATCGTTGCGGGACCCTTGCAGTTATAACATCGCGGCATGCCTTCTCTGATGAATCTGGGAGAATCGCAAGCTCGTCCGCGCGTATTAGAATGGCTCGCGCGTAACGGGTTCAAGGGCAGTTTTCTAGGCAAGGGCTGCATGCTGTGCGGTCGGACCTACTCTGTTCTCATGTTTGGGGTGCAAGCAACCTTCTATGTCAAAATGTCGAAATGTTCAGTTTTGGCGAGCTGCTGCCTTTAAGAGCGGGATTAATAACGGCATGCTCAGTCTCAATTTGATCGCCGGCATGCCGGCAACATTTTGGCAGCATGCTTCAACACATCGCGAGATCCAAGATTGACTCCAAACAAACAAAAGTCTGAGTACAACCACAATGATATGACACCGAATTTTGGTATACACAGGAGCGTGGAGAAGCTTGGACTATGCACCGAAAACTTCATGAATTTTATATGAATGAAAGCAGTGTCCACCTTCCAAATCAGCTGAAACTTTCCAGCTGTGTACAAGCGAAAACGGTTCTAAAATATTTTTTCTTTCTTCTTAAGCCATACACGAGATTGGTAATCGATTTATTTCATCCACGGCTAACGTTTCGGCAGATCGCCTTCGTCAGAGCCTGTAAGGGACAATATGATTTGCACCCAATTCGAACTGGTACCTCGACAGCTGAACAGACAAAGTGCTAGACCTCGTTTTCGATCACTAGTTCAGCTGCACGGTCAAGCACGTACCCTCTGGATTACGCGGATACTCCTCTTCAGAGGAAAACTTGGGTCACGTCGTCCAGTGAAAGTTTGACTTGTTAGACGTGCATGCAGACCGTTACTTATATACTACTACATCAGAATAACTGATCTAGATAAGGAGAAAGTTCATGCGTAATTGCTAGCTTTTCCTCTTTTCGGTTCATTCTTGGGTTTCTGACATGAATCCAGAACGCTTCCAAACACTTACGTGCTTGTGTCTGGGATTCATAGGCCAAGATTCTCACAGAAATCTCAAAGTTTGATCCTGCATGTTGCGCTACTTTGTGGGTGCCTAGGGGTGTCAATGTACGAGCCTTATCTCTGCCGTCTATATGCTCTTTGATACGGATACATAGTGGACGCGCTGTTTCCCCTATGTACTTCTCACCGCAAGTCGTGCATGAGATTAAGTAGATGACTCCAGTTGCCATGCAATCCCCTTCTCTGCTTGCAGGGCAGATTATGCAATTTGGGGTGATGCAATTGCGATCATACAAGCGATTGCGAACTAAGATGGCTTTTAGGTTGTTTGGCGGTAGTTCAACAATCGTAACCAGATACTCAAATCCTACTCTTCTCAAGCACTGTCGCAATGATGCACTCATTTCTTTGGATATATATGGGATGCAAAATGTAACTTTTTCAGTAACGTGAGGGGCATCTGCTCGTATATTTTAAAATATTTCTTCTAAATACTTTGTAGCCCCCAAATCTCATTTGCGTCGCAATCCGCTCCGATCATTAAGCGCGCCCCTAAGCAAACCAAATTTGAAGTTCGTTACGTTGCCTTTCTTTTCCTTTCTCTTTTATGTTCTTTCTTATGCTATAAGTTTCTGTCATCATTCTCTGCGGAGGTGGAGTAGTGGGTGGAGGGACTACTTCGTCTTATGAGTTTTTATCTTACAAACTTCCCCTAATGATAGGTTCTTTATTCATTCGATAGTAAATGAACATTGATAAAAACAATATCAGTAAAGAATACTGTGACTTTGGCTGCAACAGGGAGTGGTGCGAATGACCCGTGACATACTTGAAGCAATATCTAAGCGAGGGTTATTAAAATTGGATAGCGGGTACTCCTAACGAACTTGCTAGGACCTATCTCAAGTAGCGTAAAAAAAGTAGTGCACAAGGAACGAAAAGACCGAACTGTCCTTCAAAGGAGACGTTTCCTACTTGCAAAGAGAGCTTTCCATTTCTTGTGCAAATGGCAAAAACCGTGTTTTCCTCTTCAGACACTCTCATGGTTTGTTCATCCTAAGTCACGAAACCAAACAAAGCCAGCTACGAGTCTGGCCTAACATCTGGTAGTTTTTCATAGATGTTCTCCTCGGGTGTATTGTCAGATTTTCCCACATCAGGTGGAACATCATAAATAGGCTCGTAATCGAAAGAATAAAGCAGTTGAGAGGGAGTTGGTGACGCGGAAAAGATCGGGAGCTGTGGGCGGATTAGTGGCCGGCCTAAAGAATTTCCTCTAATAGTGAGCCAAAATATAAAAGGAAAAAAATAATTACTGATTGGCATGGTTGTGAAATGTCCAGCAGGCAACGGTTTCAAAGAGATGAGATGAGGTGGCAAATCCATTTTTGACAAATGAGGGGGTAGTTCCATTTTTGTCAAAGGAGCACTTGGCGCATAGTAGACAACTGAGTCAGGTCGATTGGGTATCATTGAAGGAATTGCATAAATAACATTAGGAGCTCCATAATGTTGAGAGGGCTGAAAATATTTGATAATCAACTAGTAGCTGCGATTGAAGGCTATGCTTATACCTTATCACTAATCTCAACGCTCCTATTCGTTTTGGAATATCTCAAAACGGCAAAAACCAACAATAAGCCTAAGACAACAACTAGAACAGCCAGACCGGCGTGATTCTCGTTTGATTCAGATTTCAGCTCACGAAGTTTGGCCACATCTAAATTCAACTTCGATTATTTATCTATCGAGCCATAGCAGCAGAGACTGAACGTTGTTGCGTCCGAATGAGATAGTTTGCGTTTGGAAGAGAGGGCAGACGACAAGAGGGTTGAGAGGACGCCTGATCATAGAGACGCTGATAGCGTCCGCAATTGCGTCCTGTCTCTGCATACTACGAATCGAATGCGAATTTCAATTTATCGATTTATTGTATTATTTTATGTATACTGTATTGTATTCGTATACTACAGATTTCCGAACTAGACCTACCATAGCAAACCGGTATAGCTGGCTCCCATATTCCTTTCGCACCACACGTTACGAAAGCGTGCCCAATTAGGCGGTAACCTTCCTGGCACGAATAATTAGCTAAAGATCCAAATGTGGTCTTGGTAGCTGCGACGCTCCCGTTAGGAATAGCGGGTGGTTCTTCACAGTCAACCACTGAATGAAAAATGTTATAAATAAATAACAAGATATAAATAAAATAAATAAATAAAATATAAATATACAATCAAAGAGATCAAAGATAAACCTTTGCAAGTGGGAGCAGTCCCACTCCAGGTTCCATCCTGTTGACAACGTCGACGACCATCGCCAATAAGCTTCCAGCCAGTAAGGCATTCGTACTCTATCTGCAATTTTGCTTTATAAAAAGCTTTCGTAAAAATCAAAATTGCCTAAGTGTTGAGGATATGCCAGATATAACAGAAGACAACAGTGGCAGTCGCAGGATTTCGGTCCAGAGGGAGCGGGGGGGGGGCAAAAAATTTTTCCCAAATGAAGGTGTGTGGCGTTAGCCTTCACTCCGAGTAATTCTTTCTGGGGTGTGGGTCCAGCCTCCGAAAAATTCTTTCACAGGGCTAATTCAAAGTTTCAAAAAATTTCAAAAATCATTCTAATTATTCTCTAGAGTGAACAAGTCACTTGATATTTTATAACTCATTTAAGTAAGTTTCAAGAATTTTGCGACCCATTTTCAGGGGAGGAAGAGGGGCATTTACATACTTCCTTGCAGAATATGTCCGATTGTTAAGCTAGCAGGTATAATTGGCCTATACCCACTACCCTAATTTCACGCATATAACTCGCGGGGGATTTTTTTCCAAAATCGACCAGCCCAGATTGGCTAAAGGGCTTTACAACCAAAGGACCCTATTGTGCTGTATACTGCTTGCGATGTAAAGATTTCTTTCCGGGATGCAGTGAACCGACTGAGCGACTCGCTTTCAAGAATGGCGGGTTTTCTGGAAGACTAATTGTAAAGTAAGAAAGTGAGGTAGATGATTTTGTCACTGGAGAGCTGTACAAAACTTACAGACATTCTGCTGCGATTTAAAAAATGCTGTCTCAATTACTTTTTTAGAATGAGCATCCGCGAACTAGGACTTTGTGTTTTTCAAGGAGTGAAAAGTGAAAAATCAGCAAAAAGACAAGAAAATACGATAGATGTTGGTGTTTTGCGATGCTACCTCTTTTTTGTTCACTTTTTCCTCAATTAAGTGTAGTGTTTGTCCGTCTTGGGAAATAATCGAAAAATTTTTCCGTTCTTTTTATCTCACTGATGTAGAAAACCATTTCAAAATCTCGTGTATGTTGATTAGGCTTGAATCATGGAGAAGAATATGCAGTGTGTGTGAAAAGAAAGCATAAGAATTGAGAACGATGCAGATTAATTGAATATGCAATTGATGCACCACATTGATAATAAAAGATTATTTCCTTCTTCCATTTGGGGCAGTGCAAAAATGCAATGCATAGCAAAGAACATATCAGAAAGGATATTATTTTGTCCTCCGTAAGTAACTCAAATTAGTTTTTACACTGCTAAGTTTTCAGTTACACTCATGGTTAAGTCAATGACTGAAATATTTCCTAAATGTTTTTCAAAAATTCAAATTAAATCTGTAGAAAGTCTGTTCGGGAACGTTGCTCCCGCACATGCCCGCAAAAATTTGCAGGACATCTTGAAATACTTTCCGAAGTTGTGCCTAACGCCACTCCCTTGTTCCTGGAAATTGTCCCCCCCCCCCCCAATTTGTTTTGTAGGACCAACGTTTTTGTATATGTATTCTATTAGGTTGTCCCAAACAAAGTGTTTATGTTTTCCTAGCAAACTTAGGGCATCATTCGATAGAGCAAAGCAAGCTCTACAAAATGACCACCAAAGATCCGCCTAAGTTGTAATCCAGGTAGAGTTTGGAGCAAAAATCGAAAAAAAATTTATCGCCTGAAAATTGGATTTTTGCGAAGAAAAATCATACGGACCTCAAATTTGGTTATTATACAGCAGACACAGGACCAAATTTTTTCCGCGCTTAGAAAGCGAGAAAAAAAGATAGTTCAAAAATGAAACTCCGCCCTCAGCTCCTCCCATCTATGTCATTTTGTACTACAAGCCTTATCATCATAACTTATAATAACGAGCTAAGGGTTGTTTACGTTTGTGTGTGTGTGTGTGAATTTCTGTCTGTCACGAAATTCGTAGAGCGAGTTCGAGCAAAGGTCTTGAGCTAGAATTTTGGTAGTAGCACCCTATCAGCAGGTAGGTAAAATGTGCAAAAGCACAAGCTGATCCGATAATTGAAACCTGTGAAATTGTGCGCCAAACGGATCCACGCGACATTTCAAGCGCCAAAATGGGCCTGTAATTGGACTTCTTTCAAAGTCAAGGTTTCGTTTAGCAAGTAAATCCGCAAACCATGGACCCTAGCCCGAAAAGTGAGCAAAAAGTTTACTTTCGCGCAAGATCGGCGCCAAAAAGGAATAATTGCGTAGATGATCGATTTGTCAAGGTTTTACCTGGGAATGCGGGACAATTTTTGCTCAGAGATGTAACTCACGGTTGCCATCATCTTTATGGCGAGTATCAAGTCATTATAACCCCAATAACTGATTCAAAATCGCATTTAATCTTTTGAAGAATACTTTCTTTCTTTTAAAGTCACCGATCTTACATGAAAAAGCTTTTGGAATGAGTAGTTGTTTACATTTCATTCGTGATGATCGGCATCGCGAGGTAAGTTTCAAAGCCATTATTCTGCGACTACGAGGTTGGTATATGGATAGTACAGCCAGTGCGAGCCTCTGCGAAGCAGAGGTGACACACTGGTAACTTATAATAACGGGCTAAGGGTTGTTTACGTTTGTGTGTGTGTCTGTGTGTGTGAATCTCTGTCTGTCACGAAATTCGTAGGAAGAGTTCCAGCCAACCTATTTAGCCCAAATTTTGCATAGTACATCCTAGCAGCAGGAAAGTTCATTGTGCAAAAGCACAAGCGGATCCGATAAGTGGATCCCTTAGAAATTGCGCGTGAAACGGGTCCACTTAACTTCTGGCCAGCAAAATTGGGGCCGTATATAAACTTTTTGCAAAGTCGCGGATATGTTTGACAAGCTACTATACAAGCCATAGACTTTAGCCCAAAAAATTTGACTAAAGTTGGTTACTTTACGAAGATGGCGCCAAAAAGAATTAGTTGCGTAAATGCTCAGTTTCCCAAGATTTTAACTGATCATTTGAGACGATTTTTGCACAGAGATGTAGCCCACGATAATTAGTGTCGTTATGGCGACTACCAAGCCATAAAAAGTCCACAAACCTACACAAATTTGCATTTATTGTTTCAAGAAAAGTTTCATCCACGTGGAAATACCGATCTCATGCAAAAAAGCTCTAGGAATGAGTAGCTGTTTACAAATCATTCGTGATAAGCTGCACAACGCGGTGAGTTTCAATGTCACTATTATGCGGGAATAAGTAAGGCATACAGAAAGTAGGGCCAGTGCGAGCCTCTGCGGAGCAGGGGTGACGCACTGGTCAAATATAACTTTGAAATTTTAACTCTGTTTTTGTCTTGGTAATCAAAAAATACAAAGTTTCACATGAAAAATCCGAAAAAAGCGGCATTTTGGCATTTTTGGACCATCTTTGTTTCTCAATTTTGAGCCCCTGAGAAAATCCGCTAAATACATTTTTGGGTACTACTATGTGTCTACTGTCTAATGACCAAGTTTGAGCTCCGTATGAATTTTCTTCGCAAAAATCCAATTTTCAGGCAATAAATTTTTTTTCAATATTCGCTCCAAACTTTACCTGGATTACGACTTGAGCAGATCTTTATTAGTCACTTTGTAGAGCTTGCTTGCTCTATCGAATGATACCCTAAGTATGCTAGGAAAACAAAAACATTTTGATTTATCTAGAAATACGGTTTACTTTTGGGACAACCTAACAACATCTAAAAGATCTGAACCATTGCATTTCGAGCTCAAATATTTGCTAGGAGTAGTTACTAGCTACCTGAAGTCACCAGATAGTCTTAGAATTTGGAAAATAGAAATAGAGATGAGCGAATAATTTTGTATTCACCCAAAGAAAAAAAAAAACAAATCTGCTCACAAACCTCATTTCCATATTCGTTTGTTCCATTTAGCAGTCGAACGATGCCACCTCCACTCCATATATCCACATTAGCGCACTTCTTCTCTTAAAAAAAGCAAAATTTGAGACTACCCTTCCCCCTCCTGAAAAAAATCTCCAACTTTTGCACAAAGGTATAGTTCCGCTCCACCGTGCGTCATCTTCACAACTGCGTTCGGCCTCACCTTCCAGTTCGTACCTGGAATAGGCAACGAGATGTTTATCTTCCATTATAGGGTGAACACCCGAAACCAACCCTTCCTCGCAAGTGTACACCGAAAACGAGCCGATCGCAAGGTTTTGTGAGGAAAATGAGACGCGTCCGGCTTCGCCGACTCCAGGATAAGTGCAGGACTTTAGTTCTGGAATTGCGTCGGATTCTTTTGAGATGGATCTGTGTTTGGGTAGGAAAATCAACTTGGGTAATCAAACCTCTATATTGGACGGAAAAAATTACTTATACTATAAGGGATGAAGGGAAAATTATTGGACTTAGCCCCCTTTTTTTGAGACTTGAAAACAGTAATGCAATTTTGAAGGCTCTCATGTGGAAAACAGCGGCAGACCAAGGACGAAAGGGGAACGCTCTCCCGTAATTGGGTAAAATCCTCATTTACCTACACGATTGGTAAACTATACAAATGACTTGTTTTTATTAGAATAATTTCTCACATTTCAAAGGCAAAATAACTCTGTAAAAATTTTCTTCTAAGGGTTGGCTGCTACCACTTTTTTTCTAGAATTCTGCATCATAGACCAACTAAAACTTAGAGAATCCTTGACTAAGGTCACGCCCCTTCATTTGGACAAACTTCGTTCGCCATACCCTCTCCTTCGCCCCCCCCCCATCCAAAAACAAAAATACCGTATAAAGTTCTCGGACCGCCACTAGCGAACAATTGAGAAGTTCCAAGTTTTTACCATTTTCTAGATGACAGCATATATGGATAAGTTGCGGCCGAGAAATTCAACTTCGTATTCTCGCCCAGCACCGTACTGCTTCTTCCACGGGGCACCAATCAGCGTTCCTAACTGTGGTACTGGGCGATAAACCAAAGCTGGATTTCTTTGGCCTAGAATGATCTTTTGAGCTGACATTTAATGAAGTAGTAATGTCCTCTCTGTCAGTATTTATATGGGGAGCCTAGATACCAAAATCTCGGACACTGCTTTCAACTCGTGGAAGATTAAGAAAAACTTACTGCTCTGACAAATGAAAGAGTTCCAAACATTCTGCGCAGAAGGTATCCATCGCCACTCGGCCAATCGTGCCAGGACCACAGCTTCAGCTCGATTAGACGGTAGTATCATGGCATTTGACCAATCTGCATCTTCATCGGCTACGGTAGTACCATCAGCCCAGCGCCAATCAGTGAGTGATGAGGAGACACCTGGATTTTTTTGAGTCAACCTCTCCTTCTTCTCCCCATTCTTTTTCGTTTTCGTTCAAAAAACTAAAATTTGTTGTTTTCGTAAAATCTTACCTATCCAGTAGAACTCCTTTTGGAAAGGAGTGGCAGCAAGTGCCGCTCGCAATCCTCGTTGCGATACCTCGCTCATTTTCATTGGTAGAGTACCGCCTCTTCAAAATACAATAAAAAGTTTGCGTGAAAAAGTGTAGAAGGGAAACTTTACCTGTCTAAGCATTTTCTCTGTGCTCCTAACCAATCGGCACGTTCTTCGCGTGATGCGCTATAGCATAAACCATCGAAGACACCCAAGACATCCATCATGGTTTGCGAACACTGCCATGCTGATACTAAATAGTAGCCGCATAAAATTTTTGTAAGATCGCTGAACACTAATGTAAATTTTTCTTAATCCTAAATGTTGAATACTTCACATTTTTACCAATGACAAGGCAAATAGGCTGGTGTTGGACTACCAAATATGTAAGATGGAATAAGAAGGCGCTACAAAATTTCTGTTGGTGATATCGGTAAGATGCAGCAAACCATTTAATATTATGACATTTTTACATGCTCTTTTTTATTTTCGACACCTTCTTTGATTCCTTCTGTGCTGGCTTTTGCTGACTTTTCATTCACTTTCGTTCATGTGCCAACTTGCACCAAAACTGCTCTTTTGCTCTGCTGAAGGGTTTGCGTTCGTCCGAGTTCGAATTTCGGAAAAACTCACAGTAGGCCTGCGCGGGGGGGGGGGGGGGGAGGGGGACGCAACGTTTCACTGCCCTCGATAGCCTTGCGCTTGAGCATATCATTTGCATATACAAATTTACACTAGGAGAATAATCTATTGAGATTGCCTGCTGTCTATGGCGAAATAGTGGATGTGGGAACGAGAAATAATGGAATGGAAAAATTTTAAAAATATACAAAAAATACTTGGGTAAAGTTTACATTGGTGATTGATCTAAAAGCTATAAAACTTCTGGGCGCTAAATCTAAGAGTAAGCCGTCAACACTTTGAGAAGAAACAAATTCGTAGAAATATCTGGAGCAAGCTTCATAAATTTGCATCTGTCTCGGCATTTCGATCCATAATCTTATTTTTTATTTTTTATTTTTACTTGATACGCTCAAAGGCGCTCAACTTTATTGAATATTGCTGGCTGTTCTTTTTCTTTAAAGAATTCCAAGTATGGCAATAGTTGCAATTTTCACCAGCTCAAGTATCAGCGAATTAGGCACTCGATATGAGCTTATTGTCTCTAAAGGGCCGGGCATACTTCACGCGATTTCAGTCGCGACGCGATTTGGCAATCCGCCAAAAGTCTTCAGATCCAACACTAGTAAACTGCACATGCATGGCGTGTATGACTTAGGTGGAGTGATGAAATGCCCTGTCTTCTGTACATTTGGAATATGCTTACAGTGAGTTATGAACAGTTGGAATACCGCCAAATCGCGTCGCGACTGAAATCGCTTGAAGTATGCCCGGCCCTTAAGAAACCGTTAGGAAGCTCTGTGATCCCTTGACATCGCGAAAAGCGTCAATATCCCCTCCACGAACGAAATGTTCGTGGACGCTTTGCGAAATATGCGACATAGCTTGACGAGCAAACAGAGTTCTCGAACTCGGAGGAGGGCTGGATGACCGGCCTTGAAATGCGCCTTGAGTGACCTCGTTAGACTCTAAAGTGAGTAAACAAAAGAGCTGAAATCATGCATTTATATAAAATCAGAATAATTATCCCCCTCTCCCCCCCCCCCCAATTGACTCGCCATACCCACTAATGTATTTCACCTACTCTTGAGTCCATGTTTTTCCAGCGTCATGGGGAAAATTTTAGAACACACAGCTGAAAGCGAACAACGCAAACTTCGAACTGCTCTTGTTGCTGTAAAAACGGCTTTTGTGTGTTTTGCACTCTTTCGCAGCCGTTCGGCTGGATCTACTCTATTCTCTCTGTTGTCCACTGCATGTGCTCAATGTGAATTGGCTCCGATTCACTTATTCTCGAACGTAGACATACAAAAAGCCGGAACTCTTGTGCAGTATTGCGTTACACTGTTATGATGATGTGAACATGAAAACAAATAATAATAGCACAAAAATAACAGAAGTAGACTAGCCTGGTAAAGTCCGAAATAAGGGTCTGATTCAGAATTGTTCTCTGATCTAATTCGGCGACATGGGCCATCGGTGGATCACAATACTTCAGATAATTTTCTTGTTCTGCTTTAGAATATGCTTGGCAACCGCAAAAGATAACTGATGAGTAAACAAATCTACACGTTTCAAGCTTTACTCCATTAGCTATCGCAAAATTAAAATCCCCGACGACTGAAGAGCGCTCAGAATTAAATTAAATGCTGGATAAAATTGTGCAAAATCTCGTCGTGGTCAATGGATAAGAATTCTGGTGACATATCACGAATTACTCCAGTATATTTAATTACGCCTTAAATTTTGATGAGCTTCAAACACTTCTCCCACCAAAACTCAAGAGCTTAGAAGATTCAACTTGACGTTACCGTATGAAGGATCATATAATTTGTGCATAATACCCAAGAAAATTTGTGAACAAAAAGTAAAATTGCAGGATTTTTTGACAGAAAGTGCCTCATCTCCTTTTGATTGAATTTCTGGATTTTTTCTTTGATCATCGGGAGACACAAGCAAATAACAGTAAAATCCCAGAAAATGTTCAATATTTATGCAGAACTGTGTTCTAATGTGCAATTGCACATATGGCTGAGGCAAAATTTTTAAAAAAAGATTTTTTTTGGCCTTGAAGCAATCCAAGGCTATGGAATGACTTAAGTTCGAAAACATTTTTATTGTAAAAAGAAAAGAAATTTCTCGTTTCATATTTTTATCCAAAAAAGATGTCGAAGATGAAAATGGAGAGAAAAGTGGAAAATTACTTGTGATAATTATAAAGTTTTACAAGTACGTATATACCAGTGGCGTACCCAGGATTTCGGCTCGGGGGGGGGGGCGCGACAAGAATTTTTTTCTAAAGAAGGTGCGTGGCGTTAGCCACGCACTCCGAAAATTTTTTTGGGGTGCTTCTCAAAACTTTTGCGGGTCCCGACCCCTAAAATCTAGAAAAAGGGGGCGTGGCGTCAGCCACGCCCCGAAAAAAATTTTTTTACAAAGCTAATTTGAATTTTTTAAAATTTTTAAAAAATTTTAATTATTTACAAAAATAAACAAGTCACTTGCACATTTTTATAACCCACATAGGTAACTTTCAAAAATTTCGCGACCCATTCTCGGGGGGGGGGGGGGGGCGCGCGCCCCCCTCCGCCCCCCCCCCCCTCGGTACGCCACTGGTATATACTATTCCCGCTATTCCAAATGCCGTCGTACGATCTTTTCCGGAAAGAATGTTAAAAAATTATTCTCCGCTTCGGTGTTTCAAGTCTCACGCCTTAACGGCACGAAAGTGAACTCCGAACACGTGCTACTAATCCGCAAACAATCTCATTCACACCGAATAAAAGCACATGTTCGAGTCGTGCAATCTGTTTGTCGGGGCGAAGTTAGCTGTTTGTCTGTTTGTATATGTGATGCCCGTAAAGGAACCCGACGACCCCTACGAGCCCGCATCGTCGATCCTTCTTCTCCCCCCCCCCCCCCCTAACGAAGTGTGCGAACTCCTGCGCAAATAGTCCCCGCGCGGTCGAATGTCGGGATTTGACCGTCAGCGTTTTTGGTGTCGATGAAACAAACGACGTTGGCGCGTAGCTCTTGAAACGAACAAAAACACCCTGCAAACCCCGTCGTTTCAATCACTCAAGCTGTCGCTGAGCGGAAACGTGATCATCTATCAAAAACGATGACAAGAAAACGATTTGGACAGATTTGTCGCGATTTTAGGGGACTTTTTTATCGATATCACAAAAAAATTGTATCGTTTATTCGTTGACCGTAACGACTGCTGACCGCGCGGCGACCGCTGCGCGTGCATGATGTTTTCGTAGAAAAGATGAATAGAAAGAAAACAGAGGATTCTTCTCATCTTTAAAATGTAGAAAAGAAACAAAGAATTCTTCTCATCTTAAGCCACGGTCCAACTTGTCACTTTTTCGCAAGTTTAGAAGGCACGGTCGCAGTCGCCACGCTGTCGGCAGTCCGTACGGTCAACGAATGAACGATACCTACCTGCATTAGTAGCGAACACTCTGGCTTCGCAAAGATGTAATCTCGTTTCGGCTACGATCCGAACCTTCTCGACTTTGGTTGACTCGCACATGACGAAAACGGTAGCATTTTCGACGAAAGAGTAGCCGGATATATCGCATTGCTGAAAAAATGCTTCTAATACTTCGAGTAAATTCTGTGATGTTCGAACAAGCAGGAGATCAGAATAAGAGTGAAAAGCGAAGGGTAAGCTTGACACAAATTTTGTGTTCTTGCGCTGCCGACAACATTCGCACGTAAAAAAATTAAACTGCACATCTATTAATTCTCAACAAAAATATCTCGTGTTGAAGAAACATCAATCACTTTCAAAAATTTTTTGTTTTTCGTTACCCGGATGAAGGAATTATTTTCCAAAAAATGCTTTCGGACGCAAGACTCAAATATGTGCTCTATAGCTATTTTTGCGCGCAAATGTTGTCACCACCGCAAAAGCACTATATCAACCATGAAACGTGCTAGACTATGATGACATATGCAAGAATGTAAATCTAACTTTGCACTCCATATTTTTTCTTCATTTTTATTTTTTATACTTTCACATTATCTCAATGAAAGAAACAAACTTGGGTCGTTCTTTTTAGCTTTCTTTTTCTATTTTTTCTTTCACATCCATAACTTCTCGACCATTCCTTTTTATCTACTCAGATAATCTATCTTTGCACCTCCTTCAGTCCTATTTCATTCCTCCTTCTTCTATCTGCACCTCTTTCTGACGCTATATTAATTTCCATGTAAGGACTCTTCGTTTATTTTTCTCACTTCTCTTTCCTTGAAACTCTATCTACTCCCTTTGAAGACACTACTTTGGGTCATTGTAGTCAATATGACTACAAACACAAGGAAACAAAAATATACCCCAGCAGCAACCTCCGCTATTTACAGCAATAAAAAGTAAGCAGGGGCTATTCAACATCAATGCGCACAGAAATATTTGGAGGTAGACGAATTGTGCAAAACCAGTTTAGTTCACTCAAAAAAGCTATCTGTCGAAAGATCACCAATATTTGCTCAGTCGAAAATTTTTGAAGTGGATCTGAGCCAGTCACATATGAAAAGCAATGAAAAGTGGTAAGAGGCGTCCGACAGACGAAGAAATGTCAATTTTTTCTGGTACCATCAATGCAAGGATTTTGGTATTGTAGGGTAAGGTGAAGTACCACATATCACCCCAAAAATACTGAAAAAATGGTGAACATCCTTTTCCATGACTGTTAAAATCAAGCGCAAAAGGATAAAAATCGATCACACTTTTGCGTCCCAATTATGTTCCAAAACAACCAAACCATGTTTTTCACCTTACATAACATAATAGTGCACGCACATTTGGGAGAAGACCAAAATTCTTCAAAGAAATGCCCAAGGCAGATCCATTAGATATGGAGAATGAAGCCTGTACATTTAAAATGGAGTCTGAATATGGAACCAAAGTTTTACTTTTTTCCACATCTATCAAGTATGTCAGTCTAAAGCTGAGTCAACGTCATCGGATAACCACATCATAAACTGACGAGAAGAAATGTTCGTTATTTCGTACAAATAGGAATCGGATGTTTACTTAAGAGAATTTTCTTTTGAAGATAAAGGCAGGTTATGCAGGAGAAATCGCAGAGCAAAAGGAAATGATTCGAAAGTGAAAATAAATGATTCCGGTCAAAAAAATGAAAAAGGCATACCCGTAAATCGCCATTCTGTTGTATGAGATAAATGTTCATGATGGGCGATGACTGCTTGCCAAGCCTAACGGAAACACCACGCACTTCATAAGAGTTGAGAAGATCGACTTCCCTGGAAATGTATAATATCAATAAATATAAATTACCATTCAAGCATGTTTTGATCCCACAGATTTCTTAAGAAAACTGAAACTTTCAGCGGAAATTTGGTGATCATTTATTTACAGAATGTAGGTACTAGTAAAAGCTACAAGCGTTTCCTGATTTCTAATAACTAAATCACTTTAAGCTCAAATATTCAAGTCAGAATCAAGGAGTACGATTTTTTTATCAGGTGTACTTTTTTTGACAAAAGGCGCACTAAGCATCATAAAGTGCGTAAAAGCAAATCATCAGAAAAGACAAAGACACTACAATGAATCCTTCATACCCTTCTTTGATGATATTGAATTATCATGTAAAGGGATAAGAAAAGGCAAAGATATTTTGTAGAGATTTTTCTCAGCTTCTAGACAAAGCGATGGCACAAAGATGGAAAAGCAAACCTTTGGAAAATTTTCGTGAAGACATTCCCAAGAATTTTGGGAGGTGATCTGTGAGTCTAACCACCAGCTTCCGTGACGTCTATAAAAGCCCGAGCCGCAATCCAAGAAAACTATGTTTTTTCCAAAATTGTTGCTCCTGTGTACTTTTGTTACTTACTCCTACTTTTGTTCGAATCTACGTTAAAAAGCGAGTCCAAACCCTTATCTTCTCAATAGCACTTCTTCGTGCGAAAAGGAGGTATTTGTGTTGTTTACTCATTCGTACATCTAATCTCTCGCGAAAACAGCAAAAAGTTAAGACGACACACCGGAACTTCCGGTGTAACAAACGCTATCATCTGCAAAACTCAAGTACACGCTTTTTTAAAGTCGTTGCAATTTCTGGAGTGGAAGTGAATGGACGAAGTCTATGTATCTCAAAAGCTTAACGTATCAATTCTTCAAGAATGTGTCTCAGAATTTTCGCAAAGGTTCGACAAGAAAGTTACTTTCTCAAATGGAAAGCTGTAAGCAAAAAGAAAAATTTACTTAGTTACCAGATTTATTAAAAAAATATCAAGCACGCTTACCACCATGATCCTTGAACATTATCCGAAATGGTGCATAACGCTCGTGAGACAGACGCTGAAGAGGTGCCAGAGGACTGCAAAACATCTATTAGGTTTCAATTGCAGATTAGAAAACCTTTACTGCAAATCGTGGTTGGTTTGCTTTGGAAACAGATATATTATCTAGTATTTTAATTCTGGTATTAGGATAATGCATGAAATTCGCAGCAAAAGTAGAAAGCATTTATTTGAAACATGTTTGAAAAAGTTTTCTAAATTATAATATACACATTTTATAATGTAAGCTGAATGATGTGTACTGTAGATATCAGAAATCTTATACGAACTACGATGAAAAAACTTGAAAAAATAATTTCAGAGTCGTAACTATTTGTAGAGACATCCAATTGAAACGAATCAACCCAGAAGGAAAATGGAATGCAGGTCTTGAAACCAAAGGTGGAAACATAGTTACATTTTTTGGGTTTCAGTAGTTTTAGAATCCAAAATTTAAAACAGCACTTTCCTAAAATTTCTTGATAACAGCATAAGCTTGTATCGTTGAGATGTGCACTACTGAAATTTGATTTAGATTTTAATGAAGAAAGCAAGATTTCATTTCTCTCATATGCACCAATATGAACAATTAATTTATAAATTGTTCAGGTTGGAAGAGATCATGAATTTACAACAAAATTGTTGCAAAACTTATGCATCAACCTAAGTTATGAAATTAAGAGTTCTGTGGCCCAAATACCACCTCTCTCGCTGATAGCATTTTTTTAACAAATAAGCTTTATTATCTAAATATCACAAATTGTCTCTCTCATAATTTTAAACGCAACCAAAAAATCACAGATTGTCTCTCTCATAATTTTAAACGCAACCAAAAATATTCAAAAAATGTACTGGAATTGGTACCCTCATTGGTTGCACCACTGGGTAAAAAGGAAATTTTACAAATATAGCATACTTTTAGACACGCATACCACTCCCCCCCCCCTCTATAGGAATCTCGAAAACTTTGACCAATATTCAGATCTCATTATTTTTAAGAATCCGAGCAATTCTGTACTAGCCTGGGTTGCAGGCTTTCCCGAAGCTACATCTATGGCACAAACAGGCGCTTCACCACTCCAAGAACCGGATTGCTCACAGATCCTCTCGTCTGTACCGCCGACCTTGTCAAAGCCAGCAGCACAACTAAATCTCTTTCCTTTTATGGTCAGAAGACAAAGGGGGTCTTGGTTCAAACCTGTACTTTGCCACCGTATTCGAGGGAAATGGTGTGTTAAAATTGGGACCGTCGAAGAGAACGTGGCCATTCTCGGGAACGAATGGATGTGGGCAGTAATGAGCTGTTACTGTAGAACAAATGCAGAGTAATAGAAGAGTTAGCATCTGGAAAATTGACTTGAGTATTTTTAACTGAGAGTAAACCTCTAAGTTGAAATACCTGTTTACCACCCTAATCATTCCATTCCTGAGCTGATGATAACAGAGATGAGTAGAGAAAAGGTGAGAGTATACTCGCCCTTGACGAAAGCTATGGCGGATCACGAAGCGGCGGTCCCGCCCCGAGTCAACACAACAACCACCCGCCGGAGACACGTAAAAATGACGAAGGGACTGTGCTCTACCCAAGATCGAGAGCCGACTGGCCAGCGAGCACTGGCCACTTGTGCTGGGTGCTGGAACAGTACAGGCTGAGCTGCTCGTAAACATGCTAGTGTAGCTAGCAGCGAGAAGAAGTCATGCTTTTGATTTTTAAAGGGAAAGTTCCGCACTTGAAGTTGTCCTGGTGGAACCAACAGAGTCATTTTTACAGTGATAACAAGAAAAGTCTTCGTTTCGTCCTTTCCCTTAGACACAGTTTCAATGTCTAGACGTTCTCCTGGACTCCTTATTGAGGGGAGGGGAATTAATATAAAAGATTTCAAAAAGAGTGAAGCATCATAACCATTTAACGCAGTTTATCCTTCCTCTTCCCAGCTGTCATGTCTTCCAAATGGCTCCTTTCAAGGTAAAGAATAATCGCCGGAATCAGAACTATGTATACTTGTTAACTTTGTACAACATCAACTTTCGAAAATTTGCATTTTAGAATTTTGGGACAGCTATCTTAGTTGTGTGTAAGGTCTTATATACTTTTCTATAATATTCTATTTACTTACTAGCTTGTCCGCCGGCCTTATCCGGGGCACGACCTCAGTTGGTTCGTAGTCTTGTGCACTCTCGTGTGTTAGAATGGACTCAATTGCTTCATGACGCCTTGAGTCACCGCCTCATCGCCAAATAAAAATGAGCTTCACTGCTCGTTTACTGACCATGGGAAATGCTTGCTTCCAATTTCTGCAAATAAATCAATAAATCAATGGAGCCTTAGCAAACCGCCTCAAAAATAGCCTATTGTGATCTGTTGTATATGTGTCAAAGTTTTACTATGTTGGTGGGTGAACACAAAGCGCCGTCTGGTAGTTTACATACATGCATGTGCACAGACATACACAGATTTTCTGCTTTATATATAGAGGGATTATATCCAGGGTCAAGCGTGGGGTGTGGCATGCCACACCTAGGGGGTCATATTGAGGAATCAGGGAAGTGGGTCATTATCAAGACGTCCGCTGTACGCATAACAGGATATTCGTTAACCTTGTCAAATAGGCCCGTCATGCAAAATACTAGCACATTGATGTTTCACCCATCATCGTATATGTACAGTAAGCATGATTAAAGATCTATAAAGCTTATGAGCATCGTTTTGTATTAGGAAGTAAGATAACCCCTGTGGTCCAACTTTCAGCGAATTCTGAGGTTTCCAAATACAGGACCACCTAAGTGAGATGGTCGTTTTCAAGCATGTTACTTTGTTTCAAAGGTAAGTTGACTACTTCTTTTTGCGCTTAATACAAAAAACTACTATTTCTTTGTTTACATTAGGGGTCCTACTTCAAATGACCTCCAAATTAATATTAAGGGCAAGCCAAAGTCGTTTGTTCCATTTTTCGTTTTCAATATCTTAGGCTAGAGAAGACCAATCAGGCTACCTAATAGATTGTGAGGCTTAGCACGTAGTAGCGCAGATCTAGCATGTTACCGTGTCCCAACATTTACGCAGTATTTTACCAGTATTTTACATTTGCATAGGTAAAGAAAAACGATTATATCTTGCGAAGAAACGTTTTCATATGAAATTTCTGCTATGTAAAGAAGAAGGTTAAGCAGTAACAACGATATAGAAAAACGTAGCTATTTGATCTGCTTGAAGGTAAGTCAAGGGTGTGGCACTACCCCTGAAAAGCACTCAATCTACAATAAGCTGTGGCTGCCACAGCTTTTAGTGGTGATGCCACACCCCATTAGCTATTCAAGAAAACATTTTTAGCGAACATCATTCATATGATTTGATAGCCTATACCTCGTAGATTTCATAGGAATGATTTAAGCCTGATTAGTCTTCTTAGCTCTGAGCAATATTTGGTTAAAGCACAGCCATTAAAAAAATGGGAAAAACAACACTTTGGTTGCCTTCTAATTCCGACTTTAGGAGGTCTTTTGAAGCGAGATTTCTGAAGTGGCCAGGGATGGAGTAGTGCTTTGTCTTGAGTGCAAAAACATCTAGCTACTTCACCTTTGAAACAAAGTTAATCATGCTGAAAATGGCGATTTCACTTAGGTGACCCAGATCTTGATCTTGAGACTTCAAAATTTGCTCAAACATTTTCTACAGGGGTTAATTGACACGCTAATTATGGATATGCTGCCCGTTGTGTTTGACAGGACCTTCAAGTAACGCTGTCTTAGGTATATTGTTCAGGGGTCTTATTGAGACAGCAATAAGAGGGGGGGGGGGATCGTAACCAGCGATCGTGTACCACACCTCTTGCTGTACCCTGATTATATTCGATTCTTATTTTGTCGGACTCCTTCTGTGAGTGGTGGCAAAGTACGGAGTCTTGTTTGTTCTTATTGCGTCACCACTTTGGTATAAGTTATTTATTAGGTTGTAAAGAAAGTTCTCGGGTAGTTTTGGAAATTTCATTATCAGATTCATTTTTTTGCACTCTGTTGAATCATAACGACGAATATTTTAAATGATTCTGTAGAAAGAAGCCCAAGCTTTCTGGACTCGCAATCAGTTTTTATCAATGTCAAGCCGTGCTTGATCTACACACCAAAAAAGGAAATCTGTGCAACGATGAAATGATCTCATTTTTTCTTTTTGATGCCATTTTTTCGCAGTGAAAAAAGAAAACCATTCAAGGCTTAATAAACCTGGATAAGGAGGCTGTCTACTTTAGAACCGCAGCTGCGCTCGGATTTTACAATATGCGCACAAAGATTACAAGCTCTCAAACTTGTCTTTGACCGTATCTGTTTTCGCTGTCGGCGTCGACTTTGTAAGGATCGTCAAGCCTCGGTGATGGGCTCAGAAGATGTGCAAGACATTACCTCAACAATATTTGCAGCAATCAAAGATTTGATTCATTCTGTGGAAAAAAGGAAGACTGCAAAACTCATTTACTCAATAACTGGGGCATTATTGAGGTGCAAAAATGGCCGATTTTTTTTCGAGAAAATTTTTTTTCACAGACTGTGCTCTAAAATTCTGACACTGTCCTTTGGTAGCCCTAGCAAAGTTCTACATATCTACCGAACATGAGCTCTCCAGCTCTCTTCTTGCCTGAGAAATTCCTGTACTAAAAGACCGAATTCTAAGTCGACTCTTTTCCTCACTGCGCATGCTGGTGACCCGAAATGAAGAGCTGAGGACCCAACAAATTGAGCATAATTATAGACAACATTGACTTTCCAACGAAGTTTGCAGCTTTCAAAAAGGATCGATCTGCTTGTAGTAACAGCAGTTTGAAAAATTTCGCAAGTGCCCGGGAACTTTCTTTACAACCTAATATAATATCGCCATTTTTTTTGCTCGTTGTTTATACCTATGCGTAGTTTGCAACATAAAATTTTGATTCTGGACATATGGTAAATTCGTAATTGATTCTGTTGAGGCATTTGAACTAGAATATATAGAAAATAAAATATTGGAAGACATTATAGACGATATTGCAGGATTTTATACCTACCTATTTTGTGCTTTTGTGTGAGGATTGCACAAAATTGGTCAAGCAAGTGCACTTTCCTACTATTCTAAGAGTTTCTGTATATATAGTTGCTGATATCGATGGGAATATCAAATTTGGAATGTATGAATCTTGTAATATTGGAATCAAAAACGATCAGTTTCATCATATAATTTTGTTAATAGCTTATTACTCAATATTATTTATGTTCGACTATCTATTAATCTTGGCATGTATTATATAATAATAAAACTATCTATTAATTTTACCAATCTTGGGTTAACAGCTGAAAAAAGAAGATCAGTGAAATATAGCTTATTGCTCATTATCTCGAGACTGTACTGCAGCAACCGAGCAACCTCGTGACCGATGCCGTTAATTTTACAAATTTCTGATTCTAAAGAAGTACAAATCGCAATGACCACTCCATCAGTCAGCCAAAAGTGCACTGCTGCTCTTGGTCGTACTCCTGTGCAACTGCACACTTCCCCTGTTTTTAAACTCTCAAAACTGCTTTCCCCGAGATGTACTGCAGATGAAGAAAGGTGGATTTGAAATCATTGTTTTAAGCCCTTCAAAACATTAGAGACTTCATTTTGAAAACTCATTTCAACCGGCAATCCTCCTCTTGTGAACTGTACTTATGAACGTTTTCGGACATTTTCAGACTATATCTACTATGCGGACTTACGCATGCACTTGTACTGTGACTGCAAATTTGCACTTGTACTATGGCAGGCATGTAGCTATTATCTGAGCAAATAGGAAGAGTATACAATTAGTGGGAGGGGAGAGGGGTTACCATTTCTTAACAATCTATGTTATCGAGAGTTGATTCCTTACATTCAGCAGATTTTGAAGTATGTGTCTACGAAAATTTGGAGCACGCAATAATCTCATAATGTTTATGGAAGTTGGAATTAGGTTAGTGATAATTGCGTGTTTTTTGATATTTGCCTGCGTTTTCCAACGCTAGATTTACAAGGAAAGTATTTGAAGTGAACTTCCTAACTGAATGCATATCATTAAAGTCCACTTATTATTAGCAAGGTCTTTGAGTGGTGATTCCAAAACGAAGTAATAGTTTCAAAATAGTCTTCTATTCGCTTATCGTTTTACTGAACAAAGTTACAAATATTTTTCTGCTTCTAAATTGCATAGTCAGAAACTGTTTAACCTAAATTCGTAGTGATTACGAATTCGCCCCAGACTTACATGCCTGAATGTTTGAGAAAATCAATGGTTATAGTTTTGAAGCTACTTTGCTACTTTAGTTTTGGAACAAGCAACAAATTCAGTGCCTTTTCATCCCAACGAGTGGTAACTTTGTTTAGTCAATGATAAGCAGATAAGCAAAACATGTTCGCACTCGGCATTTTGAGGCAGTCATTATGGTATACACCTTGCTGGGTTAGGCCACTTCGAATGAAATACCTTCCCTGTTCAGCATGATCTTGTAGAAATTGCTTTGTTTTATCTAACAGCGTGCAGCACGCTCCAGTTGATACTATCTATACATAACTTTTCAAAATGAAATGTCTGAAAACTCTTACCAACCTATCAGAAATGAAGGCAAATTTTGAAGCACTGGGTTGCATAATTCGAGCAGCTCAGACAACTCCACTGCTCTATAGCCTAGAATCTTCACCGCTAATTATATCTATCCTTCTTCTGACTCGTGTTTTTACCAGAATGTTTTAGCCACAAAAGGGCGGGGACTTAAAACTCAATTTATTCTGGAACTATCAACTATTCGTTACTAGTGATTGAAATCTGACAGTTGCATACATGTGTTGCAAGATTCGTTGTCACTTTGAGTACACAGAACTGGAACAACAAAAATTTATGGTTAGAAGTTCATCCGTTTTTCTCCTGCAAGTGACACTGTTTCCTTCTCCAATGTCAAAAGGCTGTTAAGAAAGATAGATGTGGGAAAGATGAAGTACTAACAATCCTAAAAAATCGAGGACTAAAATCAAACAATGGAATAACAGCTAAGCAGCAATCTTAATCTTGAGAAAGGTTATGAATCTTATCAGTGTTCAAGGTTACATGAAGCTTAAGACCTCATCTGATGAATGTTTTAGCCATATACCAGCCTCCAGACATGTACAGTCTGCCCCATTCGGGATCAGGCCAAACCGACGGCTGTTTGCGCACTCGCAGCGGTAGAGGTTTGCGCTGCGTGCGCGCGCTGTCGCAGAGAGCGAAGAGTTTGAGGAGAGAGCAGACTAGTCAGCCGCAGACGTACACGGTCTCCCACCATGCCAATTTTGGCCTGCGTTGAAGCAGACTGTAAGTGTTTCCACTCGGTTTTTTTATCTCTTATTTTTGAACCTTTTGGATCATTGTAGATTGAAACCTGTGCTTATTGCTAGAATTGTTAAATGATATTTCTTGTCACTTTACGGAAGCTAAAGTGCTGAACGAAGCCGTAGATCCTATCCCCTTTGGAAGTGGTGCACATAGTCATCCAAGACCCATCCATCGCACTGGCTCATTACTGATTGGACTTGCGCCACGACCATTTAGCATGCTCTTCCAATGGTTTTGGAAGCTTTCCAAGCACAGGCCCATAGTTTCAATTAGTTTTCACTGTGATATTCAAACATTCGAATATTAATTTTTAGTTAAAACTGAGCTGACCCCCTCAGAAGAGCTTTCCATGTTTTTATATGGCAGGTTGAAGTCAAGAGGCCGTCCGATCAACTGCTACGGCCAACATGCTGCGTTAGCAAAATAGTCGTAGGTTGAACTGATGGAGAAAAGCGAATCAGACAGAAATCCCTTGAGTTGTTCGTGAGGAATTTATGGAACACTTAATTTGACGTAAATGCATAGATAACAAGTACTTAAAACTGCGAGTCTCATTACCTACGGACAAAAAAGTCAATGAACAGCTGATTGCAGCCAGAAAAACAGGGAAAACTGTTTTCCTCTTTTTCGTTTTTTTAAAGCGGTATGGAATGATTTATTAGGTTGGTCCATAACGCAAGTGGAACATCCGTATAGGCTGAAACGCAGAGTCGCTGCAAGACCGTACGATTTTAGCTGTGGCTCATGCGCACTCTGCCGCACAGCAGGAAATTCACGAGCTCTCCTCGAAGGCGTAAGTCATCCAATTCCCGGCCATATTGGTGTTTTGAATTCGCATTTTGTTTCGAGGTGCTTGGTGGACGGGTCAGTCCAAAGTACATGGAGTGACCCATATCTTGGGGTTATGCGTGGCATAACGATTGCTTCGAGGCATAGCGTTTACGATCTGGCTATGCCTCGTCTGTGACTGGGGGATATGTCCATGTACTTTGGACATATGGGGGCGGGGTTTTTGAGTATAAGAAGGGATGGGGCATAGGCAAACCATTCCGGTTTTTCGTCTCATACAGAGCGGTCCCAATATGTCTGAACCTTACCAAAACGACCAACACGGCCCTGATCCTGCTGTTATTCCAGAAAATTCGACCCCCTACGTCTCAGACGACATCGTCCAACTAAGGAGGGAAGATTTTGACAACATTATTGCTCAAATCCCTACTACTACTTCTACCCATTCCGTCTCTCAGCCTCTAATGGCTCAATCGACGTATACCAACCAAGCCCAAGTTCACTAAACCAGGATTGAATCGTCAGTATGAATTCAACACTGATATTCTCTCTATTATCACGCCTATCGCGGATATAGCACCGGAGGAACTCGAAATCAAGCAAAAGCTGACGAAGGCCGTCCAGTTGCTCGCTCAGAGAAACGAGTTATTGGTAGTCGCTGACAGCAACCCGGACGTCTGGGAATTTTACGAGCACCATAAGCAGGCAGAAAGCATCCAGGCGTCCAACCCAATTCTCGCAGCATTTTTGAGAGAGAAGAAAAAGAAAGAGGAAAAGAAGGCCCCCACTCGAGCTCCCGCATGGAAATCTAGATTCCAACCTTACGCGGCAAGGCAGCCCTTTCGTAACGGAGAAGCGGTTTGGGCACCCGCTTCTCCTTTCTTCCAGCCCTTTGCTCTTCCAAGCCAGTACCCGTTTCAAGGAATGCAGCAGCCAGGATTCCAAGGATCCTTCCAGAATTCATTTGTGCCGCAGCAAGGACGTAGCCCAAAGCAAATGTGTTTTAATTGCGGAGGATTCGGCCATTATCGAAGTCAATGTACAATCCCGACGAAGGGAAAGTGAGTTTTTCGCAGATTCCATTCATTCTAAGAAGGATTTTTGGTTGTCATTGAAACCGTCTAGCCTCGTGAGAGATACTATTCTCAATGGTTTTTCTCTTGATTTCATTCAAGATCCATCTGGAAGTTTTTGTGCATATAATTCTTTCTCTTCTCTTCTACATTCTGATTTTGTAGATCAGGAAATTGATCGCCTTCTTTTATCTCGGTCTATTGTTCAAGTACCAAAATCTGAATGGGGCAGCACGAGAATCAACCCGATTTCCGTCGCTGAAGGTAAGAAATTGCGATTGATATTAGATCTTTCGTCATTCAATAAGTCCCTCAAGAAAGTAAGGGTTAAGTACGAGGATGTGGCTAGAGTCCTCCCCCTGCTGCCCGAGCGGGGTTTTATGGCATCTTTTGATTTGCAGGCGGGTTACCACCACGTCAAAATCAATGATAATTTTACTCACTTTTTGGGATTTCGATGGAAAAACAAAATATACAAATTTCTTGTTCTTCCTTTTGGTCTTTCTCCAGCACCATACATATTTACTAAATTAATGCGTCCACTTTTGAAAAAGTGGCGAGCCACCGGGCTCTTTGTCGCCATCTACCTGGACGATGGTTTGATTTGGGCTAAATCAGCACACGAGTGCGAGTTAGCGGTAGCCAAAATTAGGGATGACTTGAGTAGAGCCGGCTTTTTCGTAGCTGAAGACAAATGTTCCTGGAGACCGCTCCAGAAGATGACCTGGCTCGGTCATGTTATTGATTTGGAGGGTTATACACTGGATATAACGCCTGCTAGAAAAGAGAAAGCGTCGGCTCTAGCCACCAGACTGCTAAACCTTAGAGGGGTTTCTCTACATGAGAGGCTGAAATGGCAAGGAACGATTGCTTCTATGCATTTGGTTATTCCTCCAGGTCACAAAAAGAGATGGAAGGCGGTAGTGGCGGCAATCGCGGAGAAACAGAGCAAATCGACGTCACTTTCATATAGATGGGCTCTAAGTTCAAAAGAATCAGCTAAATTAAAAGGTTGGTTAGCTTTCAGTTCATCATTTCGAGGTATCCCAATCAGTTCTGCAGCCCAATCAAACCATTCTCTTTCTGTGTTCTCAGATGCTTCCGACACTGGTGTTGGAGCAGTTTATTTTGATCCCTCTGATAAGATAATGTCTTTCTCAGCTATTCCGAAGGAATTTTTGGATTCTTCCAGTACTTCACGTGAACTCTTCGCTATTTAAGAGGCGGCCAAGTCTTTCTCTAGATACATCAGCTTTGAGAAAGTCATGTTCTATTGCGACAACCAAGCTGCCGTCACTATTTTGCAGAAAGGCAGTACCAAAACTCATTTACAAATCTTGGCGGAGCGCATTTGGAATTTTTTGGAAAAACACCATATTCGACACGAATTTACTTGGATTCCTCGCTCCTTGAATCAAGAAGCTGATGGTGCTTCGCGTTTTGTCGATTTAGATGACTGGGCTGTCTCAGATAACATTACTATAGAGCTGCAGAGGGTTTGGGGCACCTGTTCCTTGGATATGTTTGCAAGCGCAACTACAGCTAAATGTCCGCGGTTCGTTTCTAGGTGGAGTACCGAACAAGCCGTTTGTGTTGACGCCTTCTCTCCTGAGGCCCGGAGTTTGTGGAGTTCCAGTTTCTTATGGTTGGTTCCTTCGCCATATTTACTAGCAAAGTCACTGCACCTTGCTCGTTTGTGTGGTGCTAAGGGCATATTAGGCTTTCCTTTTTGGCCATCCAACCTGTTTTTTCCACTTCTTTGGCAAGGGGACCAATGGATTCCTGAAATAAGAGAGGTAGTAATTTATCCGGCGGGTTCTCCAGTCCTCAAGCAAGTCACAAATTCATACATGTTTGGATGCCCTTCTCTCGAATTCGATTTCGTATTCGCCTTGTTTTCTTTTCCCTCTCCTCCCCCTTCCGGGCTTTAATATTCCGAAGTACTAAATGTAAGAATTCAAAACGGTCATTTGACCGTAAATATTGGAGGTTAAATTGGTGTTTTGAATTCGCATTTTGTTTCGAGGTGCTTGGTGGACGGGTCAGTCCAAAGTACATGGAGTGACCCATATCTTGGGGTTATGCGTGGCATAACGATTGCTTCGAGGCATAGCGTTTACGATCTGGCTATGCCTCGTCTGTGACTGGGGGATATGTCCATGTACTTTGGACATATGGGGGCGGGGTTTTTGAGTATAAGAAGGGATGGGGCATAGGCAAACCATTCCGGTTTTTCGTCTCATACAGACCCGCCCGCCCACCCGATGAGAGATTTTTCAAAAATTTTTTGGGAAGCAACTAGGCATTTTTTTTCAGATTTTCTCCTCGATCATAGACGGAGAAATGCCTCAGTTACGGCACTTGTGGCATCCCAGCGGGGCCTAGACTCAGTCGCAGCTATAATCGACTCATGCATCGACAATTCAGTAGCGCCGGGAACGCTTAATATCTACAAAAGAGTCAAGAAGAACTTTTTGAACTTCATTTCAAATTTCAATGTTCCGCTCGCGGCTCTGTCAAAGCTCCGTAACGTGTTCGTCGCTCATCTTATCGACAAAGGAAAGTCGCGAAGCCTAGGATATCATATCGCAGCGCTAAGCCAATTTTTTGGACCAATGGCAGGCGATGATCTCGAGGTGCAGAAAGCACTTGTGCGTATGGCAGCCAGGAGGGGTCCACCGACCCGTTACCGGACCAAAGCAACGCTCGAGGACGTCACTCACATGATTGAATGGGCGCTGAAAACTCAGTCAAAAACGGCACTTAGAGCAGCAACGATGATTCTGTTAGCATTTTCGGCATTTTTGAGACTCGGAGAAATCTGCTCTCTACGCTTTTCCGATTTATCTTATCAAGGAGATGCGCTTTGGTGGCTGCTCATTAGAAAGTCAAAAACAGACCAAAAAGGCGAAGGTTCCACAGTCGCCTTCCACTGGGATAGCATCGCGCAAGATTTGTGGGATCACTATTGTGATGCTTACCCGCCTACATCACCATCCAATCATATTTTCAGTTGCAGAGGAGGATCAGCAATGTCTAAGGATTACGCAGCCCGTCAGATTCGAAAAGCCCTCGGAGAAGCGGGTCTCGGAGCAAAGAAGCTCACGGCACATTCCTTTCGAGGCGGAGCGGCCACCAATGCGCTCAACAAAGGCTCGGATTCTCACAAAATTATGCTGGCAGGAAGGTGGAAGACGTTTACGTCGTTCAAGGCATACATCGATCCAGTGGCGGTATAGGATTTTCGAGGTTTCCATATCAGTTCGTGTTGCTCCTTTTCTATGTTTCTTTCAATGCTCTGATAACTTATAATTTGATGACATGTACATTTCCGAATATTTAGTTCGCATTCGGCCTCTTATTATTAAGTCTCGGTTCAAAGAGGCCTTATTCTAGGTTTCTTCTCAGCTTCTCTCTAATAGGTCTTGCTCTAAGGGGGCCACAGTTTTTGCATATATATATTGTTTATTTAGTTAATAGCCATCGTCGTTGTAGACACAGCCTCGTGAATCTGGGGCCATTTAAGATATTGTTTTTCAATGTTTTCTGCTCAGTCAGATTTGAAGTCGCCATTCAATTGTTATAGTCCTGTGTTCCTGCATAATACGTGTTAGTGACGGTTATGCAATCTCACGCATAACTGTTCTGTGTATGTTTTCATCCTTTTGTTGCATTTGAATGTACATACTATTTGGTACGATACGATATTACGATATACGAGACGATAAACCTTCTCCCCCCCCCCCCGAAGTACTAAATGTAAGAATTCAAAACGGTCATTTGACCGTAAATATTGGAGGTTAAATTTTTGGGTTTCTGCCCACACGTTACAGCCTCGCACTTGTGCGAAGCCGTGTCCGAGAGGGTCTCCACTTGCGCATGACGCTGAAGTCAACCCCCATCCTTCTCCGGGCAGTACCTTCAAACACTACCTTTTTTGTATCTCAAAGATTTCCTATCAAAACCAGTACTCTTCCAAATATGAAGTTTCAAGTCAAAATCATAGCGACTCTTTTTAGATCCTTAAAGTTTGTTTTTCTGCAATCTTTAATTTCACGGAAAGGTGGAGCGACACGAAACCACTTTCGTCTTTAGCCTCTTACCAACAATGCACATTATTCTACGTAGTAAACATTGCGCACAGAAAGGGTCAGCGGTTAGGCTTGAAAGCTTAGAAAGCAACTCAACTAGGGGAATTCTTGATTATATCCGTTTGTCCCAATCACCACTTTGGTAAACAGATTTCAATTTGGTCCTTTTTTACGATCTCTCGCAATTATGAATCACGCATTTCTCGTTCTTACATCCACCACTTCAACACCTTTTTTCTTTAGGCTCCCGCCAGAGTGCCGAAGTTATGCCAGCGCTACGCCAGCATTTCGATCGATACACATGTATTTCGTTGGGGACGTCAGCTAGCCCCGCCCCAACGAAATACACGTGTATCGATCGAAATGCTGGCGTAGCGCTGGCATAACTTCGGCACTCTGGCGGGAGCCTTAGCAGTCTTTCTTCATATTCTCGCCATTCCCGCATTTCTCTTGAAAAGATTAGCTTCCCATGCCTATGGCTGCAGTATAGCACTCCTCTTGACAACAGCTGCATATATTAGGTTGGCACATAAGTTTTGCAACTTACTTTGTAACTTTTCTCTTTTTGACTGTGACGCTTTCAATATCGGGCATAATGTAGATTAGATAGTAGGCTACAAACCTATGCAAACATCTTAATTTTTGATTTCGAAATGGAGAAAATTTGCTCATTTTTCGGAAGCTGGTCAAACCTGAAATTTCAGGGGTCAGAAAACCAAGAATAAAGCCGTTCTCAGTCTGAATCAAACACTTTAAGTTAAAACTGTACCCAGATTGTTGATAGAGGAAACTCTAATCATCTACACAGTTTCGGCTTGATTTGTTTGATTTAGACTGAGAAAGGCTTAATTTTTGGTTTTCTGACCCTTAAAATTTCGGGTTTGACCAGCTTCCGAAAAATGTGCAAATTTTCTCAGTTTCGAAACCAAAAATTAAGATGTTTGCATAGGTTTGTAGCTTACTATCTAATCTACAATAAGCCCGAAAATAAATGCGTCACAGTCAAAAAGAGAAAAGTTACAAAGTAAGTTGCAAAACTTATGTGCCAACCTATTATCTGCGCTAATATTCGACCTCATTAAATCGTCTAATGATGCTCGTGTTGCATCGCCGTAGATATCGTCACCAGTATATCATCCAGAAATTTCTAGAAATAGTAGCTTAGCATTAATGACTTTGTGTTCTTTTCTGAATCTCCGCTGCGGGTGTGATTGTTGTTAAATGCAACCTCAGCTCTTCTCTGTCCGACTTTTCGCTAAACCGGTGTTCATTGTAAGTTGGAACATAATGAAACATTTTGCAGATTGGCACACATTTTCAACATTACAAATGTTCCAAGTCGTTCAAACATGTATAGGCCGTCCGCGCTGCGCACGGAGAGCAACGCTCTTGCGTACATTGAAGGCAGTTCACGAGTGGAAGAAGCGCAGAGAAAAACAGGAGGGAGAGTGCACGAGAAAAGAGGAGTGACGCGGAGAGTGCGCAATGCACATCTTGCGCACTCTCCGCGCCCTGCGCGGACGGCCTATAAAAAAAAGCAGTGCAATACTTAGATTGCCTCCAGCTCTCCGATTGCACGAGGATATGCGATGAAGCCGATTACTTGCATACATCAACTGTGATTATCGCTTGTTTTGTGCAAAAGCTGGTGATGCCCATTCAACTCATTTGAGTTCTGGAAAAGAGTTTTCTGTTTAGATTCAGGCTGCATAATGAAGAGTTGAAGTATTCAACTTGAGGAGCTTACAGACTTATTATCTCAACTGAATAGTTTTTCAAAGAGATCCGACTCGTACTTGCGATTTATCCGAAAACATTATATAGCAAAGCGCATCCTGTACCTTCTGAGTGCATATACGCACCTGATTGTTCACGAGTTACAAAGTGCATATGCAGTCGTCTGATCAATGTTTGCAGAAGATTACAAGGTAAACTCTTGTTAGCTCATCAAAGCTCAAAAATTACGTGGACTGTTATTTGAAACGCTGGCATTCAAAGAACGTCAACCAGACTATCGTTTTTAGAGATTTCTTACCAATTCAGATATCATTCGTACACCTTCACGGAATTATTGATAGAACTATCGTCGTCGTGCTGATTTAGCAATTATGAAGTGGCTGATGAGGATATTTATTCACGTTCTATCGCCGCAACCAAATGTCAAAGCATGACATCTGATGTTGAATAGACGTGTAAGATACAGAAATTGAAGATTGTTTGTAATGTCTACTTTCCAATGCTCAACTCTGATATGGTCAGGGGAGGGGGAATGTGTTTGGAAGAAAATTGCTGAGAGCAGTTATATTATCACGATCCGTAAGATAATTGATTGATATAGCTTATTTGTTGATCTAATCATACCATAATGACAATTGCAATATTCAAATTGAACAAAAAACCCAGACAAATAAATAGATCAAAGAGAACGCTGCTAAAAATTTTCGTTTCAGGATTAGAAAATGAAAGTCTTGGAACGAGCTTGATTAGTAAACGTAAAGAATCGCGCTTTTGCGCACAATGCCTGCTGAAGAAGCGAAGATTGAAATAACTGACCGTACTATAGCACTTTGATGCGTACGTTTGCTGCGGGCAGTGCTAACACGGGAAAAAGACAGCGAGATGATTACGGTTTGCTTGGTGGCAAAAAGGCAAATTTAGCGCTATATGTAGAAAGAAGCATCTGGAGATGATTTAGCAGAACAGATATGCTCGATATAATCATCTAGGTAGCGGTTCAAAAACATAATGAACTCTGTCAAAGAAATATGACTCAATTTGATGTTATTTCGATTTTCCACCATTTTTTTGAGCAGATTCCGTCTAGAAGCCGTCTTTCCATATTCAGTTGCACGTCAATGACACATGATAAAAAAGCTTATAACTCTCTTCGGAGAAACGCTGCGCAGCTAAGGATATTATATTTTCAGCGTTCCGAGCTGATTCTGAATATATGTGTTCCATTTCAAACGGCCGACCTAAGTTAAGTGACTTCCCTTGTTAGTCGCAAATAGTCGCTTCGAAGAAGTATGACAACCGAAATGCGAGGTTATCGACATGCAATAAACTGTAAAAATTGTATTATGGGTAGGATAGCGAGGCGATGAAAATCGCGGTTGTATGCTCGGCTCATAAGGCCTAAGGCTTACTTCCCGTGATCCCGCGAAATCGCACCATTCATGCGACTTGGCTATGTGCCAGATGGCTAAATTTCGTGCGCCGGTTTCAAAGGCAGTGGATCGGCAAAACTTAACAACCCGGGCTTTTGACGAGGTAGATTGCTTATCACCCAATAAGGGAACAGTGCAATTCCGGTCGCAGAGAACGCCTCCCCCCCCCCCCCCCCGAAAGAGTTGTTCTTAAATCTGCACACGCAAGCCAAATTTACACGCGCTCGGACAGGTTGAGAGTTCTCCTCTCATCATTGGAGGCTGCCCACCGCGATGCTATAGTCATTGGGTCCCGCAACGATTCAGAGTCTTCGGATTGCTTCACTCGTCCAATTTCAAAGCGAAGGACATCGGAAAACGGTCGTTTTTGCCATTTTCAAGTCAAGTAGATTTTTTGGGATCAGCGCGTTGAATAACCCCAGGTAAGAGAGAATTCGACTAGGTTAAGATTTGCCGAGTCACTGCCTCTAGATGCATAGGCGCATAACTTTCGAAGCTGTTGCAAAGGCATAAAGTTTGGTCCAAGCAAAGTGTGTTTACGACCGATTATAAATAGTCGTTCCAGTGCCAGATTGCGCAGCGACTGGAACCGCGTGAAGTATGCCTCAGACCTAAAACGTGACTTTTACGCAGTGCCTCACCATGTTAAAAAATGCTCTTGAGCGACTGAGTAAATCTATTGACCTAACTGCATCACACTGTGAGCAGCAGTAATTGTTAGGTAGGGACATAACGTCACAGGACATTCTCCAAGTGACTGAGTAAACTGTCCTATTTGTGCGTATATAAATCCCAGGTAGAGAATGATTAATTGATCGGTATCATATTTCAATATGAAATCTTTCCTTATGTTTCTCCTATGCAGCACGTGGAGAACAACTGCTAACTTGACCGAGACAGTTCAACACTTGGATGAAATACACGTGGTAAACAATTAACAGCAATCGAACTTTCTGTGTTGATTGTCATGCCTTCCGTATTCCAGAGCCTAAACAAGCATGAGCTTCTTTCTCAGCGTGAAAGACTTCAAGAACATGAAGGTGATATTCTAAAAAGTCTTGAACTCAGTCCACAACGACAAGCCACCTTGGACAGAATTGAGAGGGTAAGCAAAAGTTGTTCTTATATGAGATTAATGAACTTTCATGTTAAAGACATCGTATTGCAGGAAACGCCAAAAGTTGTGGAGAGACATTTTAGAGCAGTCGGAGATACTATACAGGAAATCAACAAACATACAAGAGTGGGAGATCTGTTGTATCAAGGCGACATGGTGTTATTACCGTACGAGTTGCAGCTGGATATCTGAGTCTGATGACTTAATGTCTGATTTGCAGTCATCAATGGAGCGATGTTATTCACACGGTTGTGAACAATGCGACAGACAGAAAGAAACGCCAAGCCGTCAATATAGACACTCAAGCGACCGCAATTTGGAAGAACGGACATGTTGCTTACTCTTTCCATTCTAACACGAGTAAAATTCGTACGGTCATTCGACCAACGAAAGTTCTCTGGATTTAGGTGCAAGGATAAGAAAGCTGTTCATAAAGGGAATATCGGCATGGCAACAAAGCACTTGCCTGACGTTCTACGAAGATTATCATGGTGCGGATAGATAGAAGGTTATAGCACTTCAGTCTGAACACTGTTATTTAGCAAGTGAACGCGTCGAAGTGATTGATTATGATGACGGTTGCTGGTCTAACGTTGGAAATATACATAAAGTGCAGAAAATCTCCCTAGGCGAAGGATGTGATTTGGTGAGCTTTTGACAATTTGGCTCATACAGTTTCTCTCCCTATACGAAACATAAAAAATTCGTCTTTCATTTGGAGGCATTCCCTCGTTGTCAAACAAGCTAATGCGAATTTATACATGGTGGTCCAAAAGTATGCACACATTTTTTAATTGCTAATAACTCTCTTCTCACAAATTCTTTTGCTTACAAGGAAGCATGTTTAGAAGGAGTGGCCTTTTCAGATGAAATCTAAACGATATTAAAGAGCATAAAACACTGATTGCAAATCTGCTTTTCTAAATGCGAAATATTTGCGAACGAAGAGTTACAAGCGTTTATTGAAACAAAGAAGGATCATCCAGTATAGAGGGTGCGCCAAAATTACCGGCGCGTGTTTCCTTGGGCGCCCTAAGCATACTAAACGGGCTGATCAAGTATGCGTTTGTTTTCACCAACCATCATTATCGTGTTGTAGTAGTCAAATCAGAATTTGGCTGCTTTATTTTTCCAAAAAATTCTCAGTTCCTCTCGCCAACTGAAGTGTACCCTATATCCGCATGACTTGAGAAATTATATAATATCTTTTTGATAACCTTTTCTCCTGCTTTGCAATTGCGCACGAAAGTAGAGCAAACTTTGCCTCTGATACTGCTATGTAAGAAGATTTGAAATTCAAGTCAAAGAGATTTTGGATTTTTCAAAATATGGTTGAGAGACAGCACACCGAAGGTGTAATTTTGGCCTTTCTAAGTGCTCTCTAGGATCAGATAATGCCTTCTAAATCAGGTTCTAAATAATCGATTATTGTAGACACTCTTCTGCATGTCTCATAAATAGAGAATTGTTTTTACCTGGAAGGTTTTGCATACCTCGGCCTCATTTTTTCGATCTTGAACATAAGGTTATTGCTCGTACACAGGTATTTTTCGCAAGTGCATTTTTTTAGTTCGTCAAGAAACATGTTCTGCAAATGCAACTAGGCCTATGTTGTAGAGTTATGCTCTGCAACCTCGGTTTGGAAGAGTCTAGTAAGGCTTTGAGTTCATTTAGTCACAGAGCAAATTAGGAAGATACCATTTTTGGTTTTCCTGAAAATGTTGGTCTTATTCCTTTACTTTTCACATCTTTGAAAAGAAGTCTTTTTGAATTTTGTGAAACGTATGAGGTTGTGTAATAGGTTCTACCCCACCTTTTTTTAAACACGTTTCGGACCGCGAAATCGCGCGCGGCGAAAACAGTGCACTTTCAGCCATTCGCCAACAAAGGGACCTTATTTCGTAGACTTTGTGCTACATCTGTAATCAGCTTGTCACATAAGTCCCATACCCAAAGTTCTGAGTGAATTCGAAGTGTTTGAATTTTGTCGCTTGAGAAGGACTTCTGTGCTTTCCTGAATGACAGGAACAAGAACTCAGTTTCTAATAGTATCCAAAAGTATCTATGTTGTACACGGTACACTTCTTCTTCTTCTTCTTCTTTATCTTCGCCATTGTCCCGCGGGTGCAGGGTCGGCGGTGGTGCATTTTTGCTTCCATTTGACTCGATCAGCTGCTTCTTGTGGTTTGAGCTTTGCAATGTGCAGGTCGTTTCGAATGGTGTCCAACCAGCGTTGCTTCGGACGGCCACGTGGTCTCTTCCCCTGTGGATCTAGACGAAGTGCTGTTTTTGCTACGTGACGCAGTTTCTTCTCGTTAGGCCAAGTATCCATCTTATCATTCGCGTCTCCATCGTGCTCAGGATCTGCTCGTGTTTTCTTGTTGCTGGCCAACATTCGGCTCCATACAGTGCGACTGGCCTCACCACAGTCCGATACACTTTCGACTTGAGATACAACGGGATTCGTCGGTCGCAGAGTACTCCTGTTACTTGCCGCCATTTTAGCCACGCCGCGTTCGTCCTAGCACGAGCATCAGTGATCGTGTCGCAATCCGACGTCACTCGGGAGCCCAGGTATTTGAACGTCGTGACCTTCTCCAGCGGCTGCCCATCGATGCTAATTGTGCCATCGGTTTGCTCTCCGCATTCCAGGTACTCAGTCTTTGCTACGTAGTCGTAGGCCATATTCCGCTAATCGTGTCTTCCATCTCACAGTCGCCTCTTCAAGCTCTTGTCTCGATCCGCTTGCTAGCTCGACGTCGTCTGCGTAAAGGAGCGTCCACGGATGCGGCAGCTGGATGTCCTTGGTCACCGTGTCCATGCACAGTATAAAGAGAAGCGGTGATAGAGCCGATCCTTGGTGTACTCCGACTTGGATTGGGAATGGCATTGACGTTCCCACTGCACAGCGTATGGCGCCCGTCGTGTTCGTATAGAGGAGTTTGATCCAGCGAACGTACTCTTCTGGGACGTCGTGTTGTCTCAGCGCATACCAGATCAGCCCGTGTGGTATCCGATCAAATGCCTTTTCTAAATCCAGGAATGCGAAATGAATCGGAATCCGTTTCTCCAAATGCCTTTCCATTAGCAATCGTACCGCGTGGATAGCGTTGATGGTGCCAGATCCTTTTGCAATGCCGCATTGATTCGGGGTGGCCTCCACTAGACTTCGAATGCGTGCGTCGATGACTCGTTCGAAGATCTTCATCGTGTGGCATAGCAAGCGTATTGGCCGATATGTTGAACAGTCGCTGACATCGCCCTTTTCCTTCCAGATAGGGACTGTAACACTCGTAGTCCAGATTCGCGCAACTGTCCGTCTACGATAATGCGGTTAAAGAGCGATGTGAGATATGCCGCTCCACGCTGCCCCATCATCTTCCACACTTCAGCAGGTATGTCGTCGGGTCCCGGAGCTTTTCCGCTAGACATCTTCCTCAGTGCCTGCACAACTTCTGCCTCCTCGATCCGAAATACCGGTCCAAGTGTGGGGGCTCCTTGCGGTACTAACGGGTGCGGGAACTCCTCATTAAATAGCCCTTTGTAGTACTCACTCCACCGCTTGAGTATTGCCCTCGGCTTCGTCAGGAGGTTGCCCTCTGTGTCCTTAATGTGCATGACGTGGTCGATGTCCCGCTTCGCTCGATGTCGTGCAGCGGCCGGTAGGTAGACCTTGTTCGCTCCAGCAGGTCCTTCCAGCTCGTCGTAAAGTCTCTTGTAGTGTGCTTTCTTTGCTTCGGCTACCGCGTGCTTCGCCTTCGAGTTCTGTTCTCGATACCGACGGAGGTCTTCATTTGAGTGTGAGCGTTGCCAGGCTTTGAAAGCTTCTTTCTTCCTTGATCACTTGCTGGACTGACTCAGACCACCACCAGATCTGCTTGTCTACAAACCGGCGTCCTGGCTTGGTGGTTCCCAAAATTGTCTGTGCCCTCGATCGTATCTGCGAAGTAATCCGATTCCATTGCTCTTCAATCGACTCCTTATCATCCGTCGACACCCTCAAACCGTTAAGAGCATCTCTGACTTGCTGGCGATGTTCGGTGAGCTTCCACCATTTGATCCTCTTTGTAGTCGTCCTTTTGGCTCGTGAACGTAAGTGGATGTTCAGTCGAAGATCCAATACGAGCAACCGGTGTTGTGGCGCAAATGCATGTGTCGCCGTGGGTATAACCTTCGCATTCATCAACCATCGGCAAGTGGCATCGGCGCAGCATCCAGTAGTCGATCTGAGTTGAGCGGTCTCCACTCGCGTACGTGATCAAATGTGACTCCCGCTTCTTGAATATTCGCTATCGCCAAGTCGTGTGCTTCTGCTGCTTCCAGGATGCGTTCTCCATCTTCATTCCTCTGACCATATCCGTTTCCACCATGGTATCGCTTGAATCCATAGTGTTCGTGGCCAACGTGCCCATTGAGATCGCCTCCTACGAAGATGTAGTCTTCAGCGTCAAATGTCCTTAGCAGGATGTCGAAATCCCTCCAAAACACGTCCTTCTCGGCTTCGGTACATGCGGCTTGCGGGGCATAACACGAGACTATTCGAAGCGTGGCATCATCTGCTTCGATCTTCATCGCCATCAATCTATCTGAAATGCGCGTCACTTCGGTCACTAATTCGCGGTATCTACCGCTGACAATGATCGCGACTCCGTTCTGGCGGCTGCTATCTCCCGTATAGTATAAGCGATATCCGTCGCCGATGTCCTTAGCCTGCCTCCCTTTCCATTTCGTTTCCTGTACACATGCGATGTCGACGTGTCGCTCCTTCAGCCTATCGCATAGCTCCCGACTGCGGCTCGTCAGCGTTCCTATATTAATCGTCGCTAGTCGGATTTCCTGGATTCGCTTCTTTAACCTGCCTCGTCCGGGAGCAGGTAGCCCTAGCTCACTATTCGCGCCATGCGGGCAATGACGCGCGTCGCCTCCGGGGGACGCCCTAACAGCTTGACAAAAATCCTTAATAGTCCGATGCATGTGACACGACTGATTCGTACAGTCCCCGGCGCGTCGCCCCGCCTGACGGGACAGTGCCCTCGTCGTTTGCCGGGGTTGATCCCCGTTGCCAGCCGGCACCGCGGGGAGGTGACGATGGGACTTTGCCGGCCATGTTGTACACGGTACACGTCAGCATTGAACCTATGGTTTTTTCTCTTTGAAATCAAAGAAAAGAAGAGTTGCGACGTCGCACGCGTCGTTCGTGTCGCCGCACTTCGTTGCAACTGTTGTTCGATTTGTCCTTATATCTCCTAAACAAATATCAGCGACACAACTCTATAGAGTCATTTGAAAAGAGGAGCTTATGCCTTTGACTTGATAACCTTGGACTAAAAGAAAACCTTCTGTAAACGTCAAAAAGATCCTTCAAAGCAGCGTGCTGCACCATGTGCAGCACCGGTCCGAAACGTGTTAACGAATTTTTCACAATATTCTGCACGGTGTTTGCAAAATATATATATTATGCATTTGAAAATTCCAAGTCTTCTCAACCAAAATCTTCACTTCAGTTTCCTACAGCAATAGAATTTGAAAAGTTTTCCAGCATCAAATCTGGAGAACATGAAAAACCAAAAACAAACCATTTCCATGTTCCGAAACTGTTCCTGCACAGTTCTCGCACTGTTAAAACTGTTCCGAAACTGTGCTGCATGCGCTGCAGCCGCCTTACACGAGTTTTGAACGGCGGAAGTTGGAGAATTTTGACCGTTTTCAACGGTTTTTCTTCCAGATCCCTCTCATTTTGGCCTTATTCCTTTACCCCGCTTCCCTCATAAATTGGGACTTCTCTCTCGTTTTCTGTAAGTTTCGTTTATGCGCATTCTCAAGCACTTTTCTTTTTCCATATTGCTGCTTCTCCGTTCTGTGTTCTACCCCGCTTCTCCTTGAGATGAAAAAGCTGTGAACTCAAGCGGGGTTGAGGACTGGACGCTGTTCTCTTCCATGTATCCGAGCAAATAGGTCTTCGTGCGCTCGTCCATTTTTTCTTCCACTTTCAGACCTACTTAGACCTACTTCATGTGTTCTAAAGACCTGTCAACCCTTTCGATACAGATGCGAAATTAAGCAGCGCCTTCCTGGAACACATAAAGTAGGTCTAAACAAAAATGGAAGAGAAAATGGACGAGCGCACGCAGACCCATCTTTCCGGCTACATGGAGCAGGACAGCGTTCAGTCCTCAACCCCGCTTCAGTTCACAGCTTTTCTCATCACAAGGAAAAGCGGGGTAGAAGAGAGAACGGAGAAGCAGCGACATGGAAAAAGGAAAGGGGCTGAGAATGTCCATAAACGAAACTTACAGAAAGCAAGAGAAAAGTCCCAATTTATGCGATTTCAGAATTGCTCGCACTCCCTAATTCATAGCAGATGGCTATGAAAACTACGCAGGGGGGTTCTCGGAACAAATGGAATAGGTCTGAGCAAAAATGAAGCGAAGAGAAAATGGACGAGAACACACGTTTTGTCGCATACGCAGAGCAGAAAAGCACGCATTCTTCAACCCCGCTTCGAGTTCGAAATTCTGCTGATCAAAAAGGGAAGCAGGGTAGAGGAACAAGGCCAAAATGAGAGAAATTTGGAAGAAAAACCACCAAAAAAGGTCAAAATTCTCCAGCTCCCGCCGTTCAAAACGCGTGTGGGGCGGCTGCAGCGCATGCAGCACAGTTCCGGAACAGTTCCAGCACAGTGCGGAAACTGGGCGGGACATGGGAATTAGTATGAACCCAGCCTTAACGTGCTTCTATCCTTGTGCTCCTCCAACACTACGTGTAAACATGATGCTAGGTTGCGAGCCCGAACGAAGTTAATCCTTCGAGTAATCGCATACCTAAGAAGCGCTTCACTGCTGCAAAATAACAACGTAAAGCTTAGCATGTAGTCGTATAGTCAACCATGGGTCAAGCGCTGAATGATGCATTTTAAACTGAGGCCTTATTTCACAGGAATTCGTTTAGCTAAAGGCTATTGCCGTACGAGGAGCGAAAGCGGTATTAGTTAAGCAGAGCGAACGCGCCTACCTGATGGATGAAAGCTTGTGCTCAAAATGTTGCAAACACTACATACTATAGATTAAATAAAAACAAAGCCTATCTTTCGGTCGTTCAAAAGTAGTATTCTGGAGTCCGCGTAAGATTTATTGTGTCCATTTCATGTATAGATCAACACGGTCATGCATGAGCTAGGCCATACTCTCGGATTCTTCCACACACAATCAAGAAACGATCGTGACCTTTATATTGTGCTCGTTCTAGACAATATCGAGGTAAGGAAAGTCTTGGCTGATGTTTTCCACTTGTTGGGTAAGCAAACTCCAATTCAGAAAGGCGAGGAGGTGCAGTTTGGCAAAGAATCCCGTGCCAGAAATGAAAACTATGGTATTCCGTACGATTATGGAAGCATTATGCACTACGGATCAAGAAGGTATGTCCACTGCCACCCAAAACAAGACTATGATTCATTGCAGCTTTTCGGATAATGATGAGCACGTAATAGTCCCTATCGACAAGTTATATATAGAAACTTTGGGATCGCCATTTATTGCATTCTACGAGCTGCTCATGATGAATAGGCTTTATAGCTGCCTTGGTAAGCGTATAGTAGTTTTATGAGCAACTTATAACAATGAGACGATTTTAACATAGACAAATGTAAACGGAAACTCTTCAAAGTAAAATGCAAAATGGGAGGTTTTCCAAATCCAAAAGACTGCTCAAGATGCGTTTGTCCCAGTGGTTATGGAGGCAAACGATGCCATACACGAGTAATAGCTTTTATTGGAAGTCATGTCAATTTGAGTTAATTCGAAGATTTTCAGCCAAAAGGTTGCGGAAAAGAGTTGAAAGCCACCACTAAGTACTTAGAATTTACGGACAGCGTAGGTTATACTGGAGTAAAACATGCTAACCAGATGGAGGATTTCATGATGTGCCACTATTGGATAAAGGTTTTGACAGAAAAGGTTTTTAAAGGAGGAATACATGTCGTTTTTAGGCTCCTAGGGGAAGAAAAGTCGAGATAAGGATCAAAAGCTTCACTCCAGATAATATCGCTGTTGATGGATGCTTCCTTGCGGGATTTGAAATCAAAACACAGAAAGATCAGGCCCTGACTGGATATAGGTAACCTTGTTAAGACTATTGCTCATTGCTCATTTAACATGAAAAGAATACTAATTTAAGTGGCTTTCGTAAAAAAGACATATTCAAACTGATTTCGGAGTTCTGAGCCTAGATTTGCTGCCTCTTGCTGCAAAGATCATTCTAGGGTTATGAGCCTTTGGGCATGACTGGATCAGGTTAATATGGCAAGACAGTCTGTAATCAGAAATTCAGACAATAATTGAGAGCACCCGCGCCTCCTAACACTGACTTTTGACGGGCGCGTGCCTTGAATTCTTGGTTTGACCATGCGCGATTCTACATTTATTTGTTTGGTGACTCGCATTCAATACTATTGCGAGGGAAAGGCGCGGACTCTAAGGCCCGTATGCACGTACATCCCCGTTGGGGGGAGGGGAAAGGGTCTGAGAGGGGATGCGTCATATCTCGCACTCTAGATATCTTTCTTCTTCTTTCTCTATCCTGCTTATGAAGGTTCCCATGCCTTTATACCTGCCCATAACGGATGCCCGGTCAATGCCATACAAGATTGGTTTTTTACCATTTTTGATCCCTTGGGGATCACCAGGGGATCCCCAAGGGATCTCCTCTCATTTTCAAAGTGATATCTTCCTGAGAAGTCAATTAAAGGTGCGAAGTCGTACTGAGGATATACTACGGCACTGCTAAGCATGTTTTCAACAGGAAAAATGGAATCTGAAAATTGTAAATTTTTCGATAATTCCTAGCTCGCGAACAGTGGTTCATCAAAGATTTCGATACTCTGAGAATACACTTATTTCTATTGCAAGCATGTTTACCAGTGCCGTAGTATGTCCTCACTACAGTTTTGCAGCATTTTCATTGATTTCTCAGGAAGATAAATGACTTTAAAAATGAGAATCATCTGGGGATGCCCAGGGGATTCCCAAGGGATCACAAAAATGATAAGAAACCAATCTTGTATGACATTAATTTGGTATCCATTATGCGCAGGTATAAGGGTATAAGAACTATCGTAAGCAAGATAGAGAAGGGAGAAGAAAGATATTTAGGGCCGCATGCACCAACATGGCCGCGGGGAGGGGATCGCAGCTTAAAAGAAAGCTTCATATTTCAAAACTTAAAATACTTGGATTTCACGTTGAGTACCTATCCGTAAGTATTCCTACTATCCTTCACTATAAACATGTTGAACAGGAGCGAGAACCTGTACAAATCGCATTTTCCAGCTTTTGTATGATCCCTAATGATCCCCGGCGCTTTTCCTTAAAGTCATTTTTCTTTCTCCGAAGTCAACGAAAAACTTCTAAAGTTGTGCAGATTATCTAACCCAACAGTGCTAAGCATGTTGCTGATAAGAACAAATGATGTTTTGAAGTCATGAAATTTTCGATGATCCACAGGTCGAAATTTGGGGTATACCGAAAAATTCGATTTTTCAAAAATTCATTTGTTCTCATCAGCAACATGCTTAGCACTGTTGTGTTAGATGTTCAGTATAACTTTGGAAGGTTTTCGTTAACTTCGGAGAAAGAAAAATGACTTTGAAGAATAGATGTTCGTCCCCCAGGGATCATCAGGGGATCCTTCAAAAAGCTGGGAAATGCGGCTTGTACAGCTTCTCGCTTCTGCTCAATATGTTCATAGTGAAGGATGGTGGGAGTACTTACGGACAGGTAGACAGCGTGAAATCCAGATATCCGGAGCTTCAGGATATGAAGCTTTCTTCTGAAGCTGCGATCCCCTCCCCAGCGGAAATGTTAGTGCATGCGGCCCTTAGAGTAGCGAGATATGACGCATCCCCTCCCAGATCCCCTCACCTTCCCAGCGGGGATGTACGTGCATACGGGCCTAAATGTTTTATCGGAACAAGCGCGGCCCAAGGAAAAGCTCTCGGGCGAGCTCTGGGCCTTAAAGAAGTTTTTGCATCGGGCAACCCGCGGCCCTATCGGACTTTCCGATATTTTATTTCGATAGGGTCTCTGACCTCAATGCGCCGTCACAGTATTGTCGGACAAGCCCCGCTCATTTAGGCCACTGCCCGACAGAATCACTTTGGCGAGCCTCGAGCCTTGTTGGGCCCGCAATTCTTAAAAGCTGTGTAAGAGAACGTTAAGGAAAGTACGCCGCGAGAATGGGGCTATCTTTACCATTGCGGTGTTGGTTATCGCATTTCGTTCTCTGGTTGAAGTCAGGCTCCTAATCTTCGACAGTGTCCATTGATCACCATTGGAGTACTTACTAGAGTACTACTTGGTGTTGAAACCAATGGATTTTCGGAAACTCAACGAAGCTTTGTCAAGGTGATCTAAATGAATCGACAAATTTTTGATTGACGCGGGCTTTATGCCTGGTTGTAAATGATGAAACAAGGTGTTCAAAACCTTGAAATTTGAAATTGAGATACATGAAATTCATTACTTTTTTTGCTGCGTATCGAGCCCCGCGTTACATATCGCTCATTTGTTGGGCGCTTGCCGTGCCATCCACAGGTATTGTTCGAGCTTATCGCTTCGACGAGCCCTACAGGAAAGAACTACTCATTCTCTGCAAATCTCAGATATCCCGCTATAAAAAAGTCGCCAAAAATGTGGAATTAGAAGCAAGCCAAATCGTTTTCCAATTTCTCGCATCCAATATATTAGGTTGTCCGGAAATTAATGCCCGTTTTGAATTTCAACCGCAATAAGTCATACACCTCTCACTTCTAAGTAGGATGCAGAGTACCATTCGATAGAGTAAAGCAATCTCTACAAAAAGGCCATCTTGCTTTTGCAACAGCTCTCATCCACCTCAAGTTTCGAGCCAAAAACTAAAAAGACTCAGCAGCCCGAAAAATCGAAAAAAATCGTAACACAGTTCACAAAAATCCTACAAAAATTCTTACTTGCTCACGTAAACACTATCCACACAAAACATCTATATACGCCTTTGCCGTATTTTTTCCTCTGTTAGAAATCAAGAAAGCGGAAATTTTCGTGCATTTGCCGAAGTCGTGCTGTGCCGTCCCCACATAGATAGTTGTACACTACAAACCTGTAGAAGTACAAACGTAAATTCTCAGCTCTCTATAAGCTTTAGTTCTCAAGAAATTTGAATTTTAGCTTGGACCACCTAACTAAGGAAAGCTGTATTCGGTATTTCTCGAGAACTAAAGCTTGTAGAGAGCTGAAAATTCAAGTCTGTACTTCTACAGGCTTGTGGTATACAACTACCTATGTGGGGATGGCACAGCATCACTTTGGCAAATGCACGAAAATTTCCGTTTTCTTGGTTTCTAAAGGAGAAAAAAATACGGTAAAGGCGTATATGGATGTTTTATGTGGATAGTGTTTACGTGAGCAAGTAGGAATTTTTGTAGGATTTTTGTGAAATGAGTTAGGATTTTTTTCGATTTTTCGGGCTGCTGAGTCTTTTTAGTTTTTGGCTCGAAACTCGAGGTGGATGAGAGCTCTTGCAAAAGCAAGATGGAATTTTTGTAGAGCTTGCTTTGCTCTATCGAAAGGTACTCTGCATCCTATTTAGAATTGAGAGGTGTATGACTTATTGCGGTTGAAATTCAAACCGGGCATTAATTTCCGGACAACCTAATATCTCACATCAGAAAAACCAATACCGCTCATTCATCACTTTTGTGAAAATTACGAGGTAAATTACCGAACATTAAATATATATACATTCAAATATATATATTCTTGCCGCCTTCCCTGGCAATTCACGTAGTGGAGGAATCAGTATTTTACCATAGCCCAATATTTTTGCAGTAATTTCCATTTGCATAAGTAAGGAAAAATTATTATATTTTTTCCTAGAAGGAAAGATTTTGAGTGGATTTCCTACTAGAAAAGAAGGTTTAGCTGTAGCAAAGACATAAAAAGCACGGGAATTTGAATGCTTTGAAGGTAAATTGATGGGGTGTGGCACAACTCGAAAGTGTGGCAGCCAGAGCTTTTTTAGAGTTGAGCCACACCCCATTAACTTACCTTCAAAAACATTTTTAGCGAATGAGATCTATATGATTCGATAGCATAAAACGTAGATTTCGTAGGAATAAATTGAACCCGATTCGTCTTCTTGGCTCTAAGTAACAGCTGGTGAAAACACAGCCATTGAAAGCGGAAAATGGAACTCACGACATTTTTGCTTGCTTCTAATTCCCAGTTTGGCGATTTTTCGAAGCAGAATAATTTCTGAGGTGGGCAAAGAAGGAGCAGTGCTTCCTACTAAGAGCTAAAAGAGGAGCTAGTTCATTTCTGAAACAAAGTTGGTCATGTTCGAAAATGACCAATTCACTCGAGTGGCTCATTATGCGAAAACTTCACTTCGGAGTTCGATCAAGCTAGGTCCACACGGATCATTTGACATGCTCGTTGTGGATATATTTCTGTACTTGGTAGGGCCTTTTTACTCTGCTACGATAGGTATACGATGACAACTTAATATCGGATGTGCTTGTATTCCGCATATGGGATATTTGGCAAATTATTTAGCAGTTTCATGTAATCGTAATGTAGGTGTCCGACTACGACTTCCTTCTCTTTCTGAATCCTCAACACGACCCCCCAGGTGTGGAGTGCCAGCGCACGCCTTGCCCTGCGCATAACTGTTTGAGTCGTCCAGGGCCCGGCACAGATTGTCTGGAAGCAGGCTGGACCTCGTTTTTACAGCAAAAGGCAAAGGAGATATCGTTTTTGACGGGTCGGGGCCGAGCACCAAGAATAAGCGCCATTCAGTCGAACACATGCTTTTTTGATAGGTTATCGCACGATTGACATGCTCTATCGTGTATGACGAAAAGTGCGCGCGATTTGAGTGCGGGACTAAAGTAAACAAACTGCTTGTTTACAGCGCACACAGAATCGTATGACACCAAAATCGAACTGTATAAATAGAAAATTATTTGCAAAAGAGTTATGCAAAAATGTGAAAACTTATGTGAAGTATTACCTTTTTTCAAATTTAGTCCGTCTCCAGAAGGTCATCAGACGATCTGAGATCGTCTGGAGCATGTATTTCTGTCACTTCACATAAGTTTTAGAATTTTCCACCATGGACCGATTCCCTGGTCAAAAATCCACCCCTGAGCATGAAAATATTTTCATATCACTGCCTTTCCTTTGTTTTTTCCTTAATTTCTTCATAAATCGCTTTCTTAAATATTGCGCTCCAATGCCAAACTCTTATGCATGCGTAATACTCAGCTCCAATCTGGATTTTCAATTCGATCTCACGTTTTTTTCTTTCAGACTAGCGGCCCAGCGTGTTTTGATCAGAAAGTTATGCTGGAAAGGCTTGGTGCTTAAAGTATAAATGAGCAGAATATGATTGCTTGCAGAAGAACGCTTATATTAACAAAGAATTGTTGGGAGCTGAGAATGTGCTTGCAGTAAAGCTCATTCTCGAAAATAGACATGCACAGACTACACTTCCAACTTTTTCTCTAGATTTGCCCTAGAAACATTATACGTCGGAATCCGCTGACCTTAGCTACAGTATATAGCTAACGCGACCATAAAAGACGACCCAGCTGCCTCTTATTTTTCCTTTGGACACGAATCTTACTTATTACATTATGAATCTTACTTACCACATCATTGAATCATCCTGAAACTATCATTTGTCTTGTTTTTTCTGATCATGCCACGGTACTGAAAATTCTCCTCATCTTGAATATTCTCTCAATATACCATAACGTGCAAATAAAGGAACGAGGTTTCTTTAGAATATCTCATGGAATTTATCATTATCGAGATATCCCAATAACTTTTCGCCAGAATATGAAAGGGTTCTATCTGATGAAGTTAGAAGAACCTCTGCTTCCCAAAACGTGTACATCGTTCAGGGAGATGAAGTCATCCTTACCAATGACAGTCTTGTTTTGAAATCCTTAACAACAACAAGATTTCGTAAGTGATACTTCTACGTTATCCATCAACATCAGTTGTTAACAAGCTCAGGTCCCCATTCATTACTTGAATATGGATAGCGAAATGATTAGTTGTATATACGACCCAGAAGATAAACAACACATCATATCAAATGCAGGACCACTTTATCATCTAATAAGTAAGATCAATGAAAAAGTAAGATGCAGCCGGGTCGCCTTTTATGGTCGCGTTAGCTATATACTGTAGCTAAGGTCAGCGCCGGACTCCGACGGATAATGTTTTCTACTTGCCCTGCGCATTAAAAACCGAAATAGTGCTGCTCTTTCTTGTAAAGAAGTTTTCTCGTGGCTTTTTTTTCTGTGATTTCTCCTAGCTAATGAACTGCGTGTTCCTTCGGTGTAAATTTTCATAGAACGTTAGGAGCTCTTTTCATCAGAGCATTTAAAGCGCCTAATTTCCTCCTCGCTTTAGCTTCAAAGATTAGTTCTCCTAATCTTTTCTTGGCCACAGGGGCGTAAATGCGCCTCCCCCCCCCTAAAACTCCACAGTTGAATCATCCACTCTTTCTCTCTTCGTTATTCAAAGAGCTAACCCATCTCCAAAATCTCCTTCTTTCAAAAGCTTGTTGGCCAAAGACCAACATCCTCGTCCCCCTTCAAAATATCTCTGATGATGTTCAAGCGTAACCCCTCAACTGACCATACAGAAGCTCTAGAGCCCCTTTTCTCGTTTTTTTTTCTCATGGCTACTGCATAGTGCATAGAAATTTGTATTGAGTCACCAAAGCCTCGTATAACACTTTTTTCATTGCCGTGAAAGCTAATAAACTTCGTCTAGTGATGCTCTAATTGAAAAATTCTGCTGGGAAGGCATGGTGCTCATATAGTTCTAATGACGAAAGTACGACTGCTTGCAGAAGAAAATTTGGAGTCAAAAAAGATGTCGCGTTTAGTGAAGTTCATTCTCCAAAATAGAAATCCACACCTTACTCGCGTTTTTTCTCTAGAGTGACCCTCACATGAGATAAACGAATGTTCCTTCTCCTCGTACAGCATCCTTCCCTTGGCTCTCCCTTCTGTGGCTTTTCTTAGCTGATGTATTGTATGTGGGAGACGGTCTTTTCGCACGGGCGGTCTTAAGCGCCACTCTGATTTTGACTTGTTTGAACACGTCACGCACGCCGCAAACTTTTCCTCCCCAGGCTTTGCTTGGGGAAGCCGCCACAGGATGTGTCGCGCGCGGCAGTGGTCCTATGTGGAAAGCATAGCGGTCGTGCGAACCCGCCCTACAACCGTTTTTTGGAGCCAACGTTAGTGACAAAGAGAATTGCTGAGCGGGGAATCGAACCTGGGTCTGGCAGCTGAGAGTCGCACCCCCTAGCCATTAGACCATGGACACTATCGTCCCCTCCACAGCTCGTGCTACCCTTGGTCTGCGTCTCATTGTCAGACCTGCCACGTGTGGCTAACATGTTGGCAACATGGCAACAACATGTTTGCAACATGCCCCAACATATTGGCAGAACATTTTGGCTACGCCAACATGTTGCTGCATGTTGCCAACGTGTTGCTGCCAATATTACCAATGAGTCACACGTGGCCGTCCGCGACGCCACAAGGGTAGCACGAGCTGTGGAGGGGACGATACATTGCATCTGCAGTTTATGCGCCTCAATCGCCTTTTCTTCATCAAACTCAAAGAAAGTGGTGATGTCTGGGTGGGGGGGGGGAGAGGAGGGAAGGGGGTACGGTGTCCAGGCTCTCGCAACGAAAACGGGCGGTACGTAAAAAGTTCACTTTTCCGTTGCTATTTTTTATTATAAAGTAACTATCAAATTTTTCTTGTTTTCATCTTGTCCTAAGTAGGTAGGTCAAAGGCTTCGTATAACTTTCGAAAGTCAGGGGAGACTTCGTTTTCGGAAACCCTAGAAACCGACCTGTGCCGGGCCCTGGAGTCGTCTTTCCAAAAAAAGGGCTCGCAGCGGAAAACATCAAATCAGTCTCCCAATGTTGATGATGGAGTTGAGGCAAGAGATTAACGTTTAGACGGTAATATCTGAACATCAGTCAGTTTGGGCTTGCAGTTTTTGCGCAGGAAGCCAACAATCTTCTTTAGTGAGAGGGATAGCAAATTTAGATCAAGCTTTTCAAGCTGATTTCGTATTTTTTCCCGAATTTCGCTTCTGAAACATTTAATGATTGAAAATGGGCAGAATGTAATCAAACTCTCGCAAAAACTTTCATTTTAGGTACTGCTCATCAGCATATAAAAATAGAACGTTCATTTCGCACAGCAACATCGTGCCTATCATCACATACAGCAGAGCTTGGAAGATCAAAACTACGCTTGAATATCGATTGGGTGATTCGCTTCGCAATGGTCTATCGTTCTGTTTCTCAATTACTCATTTCAGCTTGAAGTCAGCTACAGCGAAACAGCGCATGATTTGGATCATGCCTTCTCATCATAAATGTTTGGTTGATGAAAACTGCTGAAACTGTCCAAGTTCGACTCTCGATAAATCTCGGCATGTTGCAAATGCTTGTTGTGGCTTCTTTAGCTGGACACTGGGATTGGTATATCCTTTATTCGACTAACGTTTCGGCGGTATCGCCTTCTTCAGAGTCTGAAATCATCGAATGCATAAGTGAACTATCCTATCAAAAGCCGCCTCAAGACCTAGGAAAACGCCCAATGCGCCAGTGAATCAAGAACTCGAAAGTGAATGCAGGATTGAACTAATGCTCACCTAAACAGATGCCGGCATGGTATTGCAGACCACTATACCAATAACTGAGCTCTTACTTTCTTATATACCTATTCGCCTGGCCTCAAATTGACCTCAGAAGCCGCAAAGGCTCTGATAAGGCGCCAACTCATTAGTGATGTCTATGCACTCATCTTTCCTATTCAAATTTGGATTTTTGGCGGCAATCCAAAACGCTTCTAAAGTCTTGCGCGCTAGGATTTCGGATTCGTACGCCAAGATCGTGACCTCCACGCGTATCTCTGCGTCATTATGGAACTGTCTGCGATGCTTGCCCAGTGGAGTTGCCATGTTCGATTTTTTGAGCCCGTCTAGGTGTTCTTTTACGCGTATACATAGGGGCCGCCCCGTCTCGCCGATGTACGTGCCTCCACATGTCTGACAGGTGATAAGGTACACCACCACCGCAACCATGCAGTCGCCTTCCCTGCCCTGCGGGCATATGATGCATCCTGGAGTCATGCAAAGCCTATCATATGCCCTATTTCGTACTAGCTGATGTTTGAGGTTTGTAGGGGGTATGTCAACTACCCTTATCCAATCCTGGAGGTCCGCTTGTAGTACCAATCTTCTGACCGTCTTGCTCAACTCCTCTGAGATATACGGCTCGATCTAATGGTTACAAGACCTTTGGGCACACTCACGCAAAACATCATCGAGCTCATGGGAATGTGGTTACAGAAACCGATGGAAAAATCCCTTTCTGCCTGCCGTATATCTCAGAGGAGTTGAGAAAGACGGTCAGAAGATTGGTATACAAGCGAATCTCCAGGATTGGATAAGGGTAGTTGACATACCCCCTACAAACCTCAAACATCAGCTAGTACGAAATAGGGCATATGATAGGCTTTGCATAACTCCAGGATGCATCATATGCCCGCAGGGCAGGGAAGACGACTGCATGGTTGCGGGGGTGGTGTACCTTATCACCTGTCAGACATGTGGAGGCACGTACATCGGCGAGACGGGGCGGCCCCTATGTATACGCGTAAAAGAACACCTAGACGGGCTCAAAAAATCGAACATGGCAATTCCACTGGGCAAGCATCGCAGACAGTTCCATAATGACGCAGAGATACGCGTGGAGGTCACGATCTTGGCGTACGAATCCGAAATCCTAGCGCGCAAGAGTTTAGAAGCGTTTTGGATTGCCGCCAAAAATCCAAATTTGAATAGGAAAGATGAGTGCATAGACATCACTAATGAGTTAGCGCCTTATCAGAGCCTTTGCGGCTTCTGAGGTCAATTTGAGGCCAGGCGAATAGGTATATAAGAAAGTAAGAGCTCAGTTACTGGTATAGTGGTCTGCAATACCACTTTGTCGGCATCTGTTTAGGTGAGCATTAGTTCAATCCTGCATTCACTTTCGAGTTCTTGATTCACTGGCGCATTGGGCGTTTTCCTAGGTCTTGAGGCGGTTTTTGATAGGATAGTTCACTTATGCATTCGATGATTTCAGACTCTGAAGAAGGCGATACCGCCGAAACGTTAGTCGAATAAAGGATATACCAATCCCGGTGTCCAGCTAAAGAAGCCACAACAAGCACTGCTGAAACTGCTGAAAATTGGAGCAGAACAACAAATGAACCATCTTCTTGTACACAAGAGGCGTTGCAAATACATATCATACAGTCATTAGAAAGCGAAAGTACAGAACATGTTATCTTTCATGCAAAACACCCTCAGGCTCCTAGGCGAGATCGGTTAACTTGAGTAAGCTTTGGTGATCTCAAACGAGCTTACATGTTAAACTACAGTCTGTTTTAAAAGATGTAGGCCAAAGCATGTCTTGTGAAGCGGCGCGTCCGCCTCGCAGGAAGCTTTGCGAGCGCACACGCTAGCATTTTGTCAGTTAGAGATTGAAAGGAAGTAGGCGTGCTGTATTTCGAAAGTTTTGAAAAAACGCAAACATTCGAAGGCAAGCATCAATCACAAAGAAAGGGTACAAATAAGAAACAAATGAAACAAAAAGGCACCAGTAACTTGTTTGCATTGGTTTAGTTACACCACATAACGTGCAGTAGTTGAAATGCGGCGCGAACCGTTGCGAGGACATTGGCCCGCCACTTCAATCTCGGCCTAAACTGGGTTGGCGCAAACTATGCAACCGCACATGCTTTGAAAAAGCACTAGTGCCGAAAGATAAACTGTTGTTTAAACTGTTGTCGTCACCACCCTGTTGTGAGTTTAACTGAGTTTAACTTATATGGGGAGCTGGACTGACGCAAATAGCGTTGAAAGAGGATGTTTTAGAGAAGAATTTCGTAAAGTTGTTATCGAGTAGCTCACGATGTCGGCTGACATGGTATTGCGCTGGTTGCGCTGCACACTTTTATCTCGAAAGCAACATTGGAAATCTGTCTTTGCTTCTCACACTTTTGTATAGGTTTTTCTTCTTTTTTTGCTCATCCCCTATCGCTTTCATCCGCTCGAACACTAACTACAAAGTGCCTAGTTGGCGTAAGTCCGCAGCGGGCTTCCAATTGCTTATTTCCAGGGTCAAGCGTAGGGTTTGGCATGCCACACCTGGGGGGGGGGGTCGTATTGAGGAATCAGGGAGGGGGAGGGTCGTTATCAAGGTGTCCGCTGTTCGCATAACATGATATTCGTTAACAATGTCAAATAAGCCCGTCATGCAAAATACTAGCACATTGATGTTTGACCCACTATCGTATACGTACAGTAAGCATAATCAAAGATTTTTAAAGCATAAAAGCATCATCTTGTTATTAGGAAGTAAAATAACCCCTGTCTTCCAAGTTTCAGCAAATTCTGAGGTTTCCAAATACAGGACCACCTGAGTGAGATGGTCATTCTCAAACATGTTTTGTTTCAAAGGTAAATAAACTACTTCTTTTTGCGCTTATTACAAAGAACTATTATTTCTTTGCTTACATTAGGAATCCTATTTCAAATGACCTCCAAATTAATATTAAGAGCAAGCCAAAGTCGTTTGTTCCATTTTTCGTTTTCAGTATCTCAGGCTAGAGGAGACCAATCAGGCTCCTTTAATGTAGATTATAAGGCTTGAACTATCGAATATATACACTCTTGTCGCCTTCCCTTGCGATTCACGTAGTAGCGCAGACTCAGCATGTTACCATATCCCAATATTTTCGCAGTATTTTACCAGTATTTTACATTTGCATAGGTAAGGATAAACTAATATATTTTGCTTTTGAAGAAACGTTTTCATATGAAACTTCTGCTATCTAAAGAAAAAGGTTAGCAGTAACAACGATATAAGAAACGCAGCTATTTGATCTGTTTGAAGGTGTTAATGGGGTGTGGCACCACCCCTAAAAAGCTGTGGCTGCCACAGCTTTTTAGGGGTGGCGCCACACCCCATCAGCCACATCAAAACCGAACGTCATTTATATGAATCGATAGCCTAGACCTCGTGGATTCCATGGGAATGATTTGAGTTTTGAGCCTGATTCGTCTTCTTAGCTCCGAGTAATATTTGGTGAAATCACAGCCATTAGAAGCGAAAAATAGGAAAATGAGATTTTAGTTGGCTTATAATTCCAAAGTTAGGAGGTCTTTTGAAGAGAGCTGAAATGGACAACGAAGGAGTAGTGTTTGTTTTGAGTGCAAAAACAGCTAGCTGCTTCACGTTTGAAACAAAGTTAATCATGCTGGAAAATGGCAAGTTCACTTAGGTGACCCAGTATCTTGAAACTTCAGAATTTGCTCAAACATTGTCTACAGAGTTTAATTGACATGCTAATTATGGGTTTGTTGCCCATTATGTTTGATAGGGTCTTCAAGTAACGCTGTCTGACGTATATAGTTCAGGGGTCTTATTGAGACAGCAATAAGAGGGGGGGGTCGTAACCAGCAATCGTGTGCCACACCTCTTGCTTGACCCTGCTTATTTCCCAAATAAACATGTTCCGGAGATCAATTTCAAGACGGTAACGTCTTGTAGCTGTTTTTCTAAAACACATGCAGTGTTTCTAATACGGACTAACTAATAGTATTTTAGATCATATTTTAGATCACACAGCTAAGTTGCAAAAATAATGTCCGTTTTTCTAGGTCTACTTTCCAAACAACTTTTTCCATCAACCTTTCTTTCTCGATACAGGTTCTGCATAACTTTGGAATGCTCTCTCATGTACTTTAGAATATGGGTAGATTCAGCTTTTATCTTATCTGTGAGAATTATGCCAACATTTTGCATATCTTCACTCAAAATCGGATTTTCATTGCCTTAACTTTCTTGGCCATGATTCAGGCGGAAATAAACGAATTCTTATGAAAACATAGCTACTGCCTGGAATGAATGTTGTTTATATGTTGCACGTTTGAATAAATTTTTCGAATATATCTGAACCGAGAAATCGACGCCCCAAACAGATACTCCCTGCCTGGCATTCTATGGGTTGAAAGTTTTTTCTGATCAAAGCAATCGCCGAAGCGCTGCGCATTTCTGCATGCCTGAGGTCAGAACATCTTGCCTACAATTTTTGCAGAAAAACTCATCTACTCAATGCTTTAAGATTTCCAAGTTTTCATAGTTTGGGAGTTTTGGCCTCCACAAATAGGCTCAAAAAGTGGACAATTTTGAATTTTTCTCTTGTGGCGACTCGGTGGGCTCATGGCACCTAGATGTAACCCGAGGCCTGATGCTCGCCCGATACTAAGCGACGTACCTATCCTACTGCGCACCTAACGCGCGACCAAAGGAACATGAGATAATTTAAGTGATTTGTCCTTATGGCA